TAGCAACTTAACAGAGTGAAGGAAGATTGTATTGGATTTCTTGTGCAAAATATACTAGGCTCAATGTCACGGGCTACATGATGAGGTAACTCAGTGTCATACAATGTCTAAAATGTGGGACTGAGCAGGGAAACCCAGGTTTCCAGTATACTCTCGGCCACAGAAACTCACTCAGCAACTTTGGGTTACTTATTCTTACTTAGCCCACACTAGTTCATAGGGTTGGTCTTGTGGGAGAAATTAAAAAAACAAAAACAAAGAAATACATTGTAAGCCTCCTTGAGCTCCTGGTGTAAAGGAGGGACATATAGTTTGTAAAAATAGGATGCTTAATCCCTAAATGATGAGTCTTAGCACTGGAATCTATTCTGAGATTTTGAAGAAGTGGTTTGTGACTAGGCGGGAAATTTTTTGATAGCCAGAGGCTGCAGTGGGTAGGAAATGATCAAAATAGACAAATGAATGTGATGCTCAAGGATGAGGACAGGATTTTCTGTCTTTTCCAGACTCTTGGGGTGAGTGTGTTACCTTACCTTTAAAAACAATGTTAGGTAAATTGTAAGGTCTACGATATAGTTATCTATATATTTCTTTACTCAAAGTTTGAGCATCAGCCTTGGCCCTTAAGGAAGAGTTGCCCCAGTTCGGGCGAACCCATAGCAGTGGTGGTGGGAGGCTCTGCCCACCCATCCAGACGTCATCAAATACGCTCTGCACAGAAGTGGTGTGTCTGTGTGTGTGTGAGCGAAGCGAGCGCGCATGCATGAGCAAACGGGTAGCAAAGGTAAATGAAACCGACCACTTGCCACTGCCTCTTCAGGTATTCTCCCTACCCACAGGGAGGTTTTTAGCATAGCCCAGATCAAACTTCCTCTCCTTTTCCTGGACTAGGTAGGTAGGATAAAAATAAAGGCCAGAGATAGCGGAGTTCATTTCCCTATGCAGTGGTTCTCATGAACCACTTTCATAGTATGTCATTGGTTTTTGACCTATCTATGGAGAATGATGGAAGAAGACTGAAATTTTCACAGTGGAGGAGTGGATTGTGAAAATGTCAGAATTTCCAGAAATAAGAAAAAATGATCTGTTTCGAATAACAAAAACTTGTTAGAAAGACTGGAAGCCTTTATATCATGGTTGACCAACATTTTGAGTTGTCTAGGCTGCATTGATTGAAGAGATATTGACTTGGGCTCCACATGAAATATATAGTATAGTTCATGTATATAAAATCACATAATAATGTTAAGAGTATACAATCTTATAGAACCACATTGTTAACTGTCCAGGGCCACATTTGTTTTATATGGACCTTTTGCTGAAAACAATGAATTGATGATTTATGGATTTGAAGACTAAGAAAGATGAGGATTAATGCAGAAGTGAAGGGACTTGTAAAATACTTAAGGTGGAAAAACAGTAAAATTGTAATCATCTGTTGAAAAAAAGGTCAGAAGTCTTCTACATGTTTCTTTAGTTTGGTTTTCTTTTTTTCTTTGGTTTTTTTATTATATGAAAACATTCAATAAATATGATTCTCTACATATCCATACCTTCTTTCAGAAAACAAGAAAAGAGTTGTCACCTGCTTTGCTGATAAGGAACTAAGAGTAAGCCTTAAGTGCACAATGTACTATGTGCTTAGAGCTCCATGCATTGTTAGAGACCCCACACACCCACTTCATGGTCTGTTTCTGTTATTCCCCTCTTAGGAGGAGGTTTTCAAGTATTTCTAGCAGGACTACCAGATTCTGTAACAGCTTTGTTCCCTATGCCATCCGTCTGATAAACTGGCAAGATTCATTTTTCTTGCCATGTACATGCATACATCTGAACTAGACTGTGTTGTTTCTCTGTGTCATATATGTGGGTATATACATAATTTTATATTTATTTATTTATTTGTCATGTTTATGTAGTGTATTTTGGAGGTGGTGACCCTTTGAGAGCTGTATGAAACAAAATTTCATTTTAATGTATGCCGATTAATGTACATTCAAAGTGACAAAGTTATTCTAAGTTCTAATTAAGATTCTCAGAAGAAAACTCTCCTAGGAAAAGGGGGAGCTGCAGATAGGCTGGTATACACATATGATGCCATGATAACATTAGAAGTAGAGATAAGAAGGAAAAACATTTCCTTAAGAAAGAAAAACCTAGACAGAAGGTTAGAAAAGGAGGTTAAAAGAAAAGGAGGCAGCTAAAATAGCTAAGGTGGAATTCACTCTAATAAGTGTTGAGGATAAATAATGGATTTTAAATAAGAGGGGGGAAAATACCTAGTGGGTCCAAAAAGGATAGAAGACTTAGTTTAGATTATGAGTGATCAAGTCTACGAAGCATTTTTGAGGGTAAAACCTGGAGAAATCTGGCCCAACAGAAAAAAAAATCACAAATTACAAACCACGGCAGATTTTATGGTGCTAGAAGGGAGATGGAAGGTCTAATCAAAGGTTCACCTATCAGAAGGATACCATTGGATCCAGGCCAAATGACATTTCATCTGACTGTAAGGGATAGAAATTGCCGCTAAGTTTAACATGCCTTTTTAAAAACTCTGGATAGAACTAGGTCTGATATTAGCAAATTAAAGAGGTAAAAACATGCTGGTTTACACTTATTTTAAACTCATGCTTTATCCTGCTTAGAACTTCATGTTTAAAATAGATTTGCGCCAAGTGTTCGCGTGCATGGAAATATAAAATTCTCCTACCCTTTTACAACAAACTGCTATGCTGGGAGTGGGAAAATTATTTGCAAAAGAATCCACAACATCAGGGAAGTGAAATTGGTTGATTTATTCGATGAAGTGTGACTGGATTGGCTTCTATCTCCATTAGGTAAATAAAATCACAAAAAGCAGAAGTGGAAAGCTAGGAGCCCTGCCTCTTTATATTTTAGATTCTTAAAACTGGTGGCATTGCAATCCAAACTCAGAAGGAAACTGATACTGCATGCCAATATACCAAACAAGATTTATGTATTCCCCTTAAAGAAAGGGTCAGGATCTGCATAAGAGAGGTTAGTTTCCTTGTTAGCTCTGGGATTCTGTCAATATTTCATGCAGTGGTAGAGCACATTTCAGTCACTTGCCCATGATGGAATGGCTCCATAATCGGTCTTGAAGTTCCATGTATTGTTTTGTGTATCTGATTTAATCCTGATGGCAACAAAGTATACTTTACTTGGAGAACACATGAAAATAATTAACAGCTAGTTGAGAGCTCATTTAAACCATATAGGTACCAATGGGGAAAATGATGGGGTTTTTGCTGGCTATCTTATTCAGGGAACAAAATTAACTACATCTTATTTTTTTAATGCATGTTCATGTGTTCATTTCCATTAAGGGATCCTATCAACATTTCTATCCCAAGAATAAGGAAAGAACCTGCATTGTTCATTTAGGAAATTATATTCAAATTATTACTGGGGTTCTTTTTCCCCAAACTCCATTTATAATTAATATCAATGATATTGGTCATACTTTTAAACACCAAAATAGCCTTTAAAGGAGTAAAACAAACTTGGAAAATTATCTTATAATCTAGAGAAAAGATAAATATTGGTAAGTAGTAGTAAAAGGGAGAGAGTTCTGTTTACATGTATAAAAACTCAATTTCACTTCAGTTGTTATAGGACAAAAATAATGTAGGAATAGGGAGTAGAGTAGAAAAATTTAGCTTGGGCAAAACACCTATTGGAAATGGATCAACATCCAAAATTATTTAGCAGACAATATCCAAGATTATTTAGAAGGAAATAACAATCTACCAACAGAATAGAAAGGAAATTTTTAAAAAAGCAAAGGTAGAAAAGAACAACTTCTGATTGATAAAATAGGATTGGAAGATTACAAAAGCCTGTAGTACAGTGGACTAAAGCACACTGTTATTAACATCTGCTGCTTGCAATTACTGCAAGTTCAAATCTCACCAGGCTCAAGGTTGACTCAGCCTTCCATCCTTTCAAAGGTAGGTGAAATGAGGACTCAGATTGTGGGGGCAATAAGCTGACTTTGTATAAATATACAAAAGTATGAAGGCTATTGCTTAACGCATTGTAAGCCGCCCTGAGTCTCCGGAGAAGGGCGGCATATAAATTAAAGCAAAAAAAAAAAAAGCAGAAAAAAAAAGCAGAAAAAAAAGCTAATAAAATAATTTACATATGGTCTGGATTGATTATAAAAAGGTGTTTGATTCATTACCACATAATTGGAGCATGAAATGTTTGAAAACAACTGGGGTCAGAAAAAACATCAGAATCTTTATAGAAAAAATAAGACCGAATTGATGATTGGAAATGAAAAATATGGGCTTGTTAACATTAGAAGAGGCATCTTCCAGGGTGACTCATCATCACTCTTATTATTTGTCATTGTTATGGTCCAACTTTCAGTAATGTTGAAGAAAACACACCTTGGCTCTTAAATACTAATAAATTCTCACATTTGCTTAGTATAAATGATCTGAAGTTTTATGGAAAATCAGAAATTGAAATCCAGTAATTGACAAATACAATAAGAATTTGGCTCATAACACACCAAATTTAACTGTGGTTGAAAAGAAAGTGTGGATAATGGCATAAGCCAACTGTAGTGGTCCCAATGGTTATTTGCTCCCTGGGTGCCATACCAAAAGTCTTGGACGGCACTTAGAAAATCTGTGCATTGACAAATATTTCCATCTATCAATTCCAAAAGGTCATATTGCTGGGATCCTCACATATACTACACAGATACATTATGACATCCTAGGTTCTTGGGAAGAACTGGATGAATATGAAAGCTAACACAAGCTAAAGAAGTGGCAGCTGTGATTTCACACTAGTGTGCATATAAAGATAGTGCGCAAAAAAAAAAAAAAGTAACACCAAATGTTTTAGCTGTGAATATTCAATTTAGGAATTTGAACCAATAGATTATAAAAGATCATTTAAAGTTTGAAACTAAAAACGCAGTGGAGGAATAATATTTAATTTAAAAATGGAGAAACATGAGGTTGAAAACATTTCCCTTTTATTGAAAAGACTTGATATTTTCTCACAGACTGTCAGCGAGGTTTGCAACAGTAAGTAATTTGACAGAAACCAAACAACACATTCTTTTTTTCAAACTCTCTTTGGAAATATCTTGCTACAGGGCTTCAAATTTGCATCTCAATTCAGCTATTCAACAATTATTCTTTCCATGTTTAGAAGCATTACATAAATAATGACAATCTGTAGTCAATGCAGTGTCTTAAAACATTTACTATATAGGGTGTCACTTGGAGACCAAAAAAATGAAATAATTTTTGAAAGGAAAACATTTGTAGTGTTGATAAAGTATGTACAAAATTAAAATGCAAATGAAGACATAAAGACATAAATATAAAATCAAAATATTCCTTTCCTTGGCATTCTTTTTTGTTGCTTATTTTAAAACCTTTATTTAATTTTCAATAAGTGCCAATATTTTAACATAGCAGTCAAATATAATTGTAAAATAAAAGAATATTTCTTGATGAGTCTAAATAACTTTCTACTGTATAAGCACTTCCTGCTAAGTCAGGGCAAGACATCACTGGATAGAGCGCCAACTATTTCTTAATTTCAATAACCTTATAGGTTAAACATCTGTAGGACCGAAGCCTAAAATATATTCTAAACAATATATTTTTCAGATCAGTGCTCTTGCTTCAGGAAATCATAAAACCCTTTTTGTACAGTTCTATCTATTTTGGAGAAATTCACAACCAATCACCACATTCTCAGTCTACACAACTTTTTGTTCTTCTCTTTTCCATTTTATAAAGTTGTCAGTATGGTGTGATACATATTTTTGTATAAAGCTATAAATCCAGACTACCTACACTCATGGAGTGGCTCAGAAGTAGGCTATCATTTTGGCATACTGGACATTCTTACAGATGGCTGCCATATAGACTACTCTATTTGACAAATGACTGTCATAGTCAGTACAACCAGTCATAAAATACATCTCATTTGTGATTACCTCTAGTTTGCCTCTTCCATTCTCTCTCCCCCCTCCCTTTCATTTTCTCTATATTTTTTCTGGAAAGGTGAGTGTGTTTCCAAACCAGGTGCTAAGCTGTAGCTACCTAGCATTTTTATTTTCTAAGACTATCTACAGCAGGGGTGTCAAACTGGTGGCCTACGGGCCGGATGCGTCATCTGCAGGTCACACCCACCCCAGTTCTGCGAAGGGAGAAATCATCACAATATGTCACATGATGGCAACATGACACTGTGAGTTTGACACCCGGGATCTACAGGATCCATATGTTAGTACCTGGTGCTTGTAACATGGCAATATTTTCTTCATTATCCTTTTTTTAATTAAAGGTTCTCTTTAAAAAAGTTATCTGCAGCTTAGAATCCAGAAGGTACCAAGGAAGGGTCCATGAGCACAATATTGTTTACTATGCTATAGATTATAACAAAGGTTATTCTCTACTTTCTTGATATTTATAGATAGGCCTGTATCAAGACACTATACCAAAGATTAGAGGGAATGAGAGAGATGGGTATCTTCTATTGACAACTGAGTCATAGCCTTACCCTTCCTTTGTGTGGTTAAGGAATGAGAGATTAGAACTCATGACTGTGTACTGAGAATAGGGGAGAACATTGATCATAAATGTGTGGGAAATGTGCAGGCCTTTCAATCTTCTTATTGACCAAATACAGTGTATGTCTCACAATTGTAAGAAGGGAAAAGTGTTATGTCTGACGGGTGCTCTATTTATGTGCAGGTAATTGGAACAAACCCATCACCTGATTCTCTACACCCAACTACTGCCACATTTATCCACAATGCTACACTGTTCTTAAATATAAATCTATTTTGGTAATTGCAAAACACCACTGACTATTTTACAGCTAAGTCCCCTCTAAGTACTTTCTCTAGTTTGTAGAAAACAACCTGCGTTAGCTTTTCTGTTTTCTAGTTTTTATCTCTCAGAATGGAAGATCAAATATTTTTCTTTATTTACCATGTTTCTTCTTCCCATCTGTGTTGCACTCATTGCTTTGCAACACCTTTTTAAAAATTTCCTCAGCATTCCTTCTGCTACATCCATTCACAATGGTGGTATATCTCTTCATTTTGCTGTTCTTATGTTTACCTTTTCTTTTTGCAGCCATTAAAATATTTCATTCCCTTCTTGTTTAAAACAAGACCCTGCCTGTGTTAATTCTAATCATTCTCAGCCCTTTTTGATCTTACCTTCAAAATACACCTCTACTGACTTTGCATACACATGAATCTATCTGGATGACTTTAAACAATTTTGTACAAAGCATTACTTCTTTCTTTGCTTTGAGATAGCTTTATTTTCAGTGCTTATAACTTGGTATAATATTTTGACAATTGGGAGACATCTGCTGCAGTTAAACGGCAGTGGATGGCTTGGCAAAGTGCTTTTAGAGATTGTTATTTTCAAAACTAAGGAATACAAGAATCATTTAGCCAGTGTGTTTTTTTCTTACTCTATTCATGATAAATGAAATGGAACCAGAAATTATGGCTGTCATATATTCACTCCCTGATTTCTACTGTAAAAAAAGGCCTGCATTTGAGATTAAATATATAGAAATAGTATAGTTATCATGAAGAACTAAGTAGCGTAGATGTAGGAAAGTGACTGTAGCAATAATTGTTTAGCTTAACTGAGACTGTACTTATAATAAACACTACTACAGTTTCTGGAGTGGCATCCTATAAGTAATAAAATATTGCAGACCTTCCTCCTAGTGGGTGGAAAAAGAGATGGTCCTCCATAGAGAAAGTGGCTAATGAGGATTTTCATTGAGGAACCTCATTGTGTGAGAGTATACACTTCTGCCTTTGTGGCTTTCTAACTAATGAAAAAGGAAAGTTCAGCCAAAAAAAGAGAAGATGTCATGGTCACATCTAGTGCTATCAGTTCAGACTCCCATTCTCTGACTATATCTACAAAACAGAAAGAAAATATGCTAGCCCAAGAACTGGCATAATTTCCATTCCCAATAAAATTAAGGAGGTGAAAAAAGAATAATAAAAAACAGAGACAAAAATATAAATCCCTTTTTCTTTTCCATTGTCCTTATCAATAAGATATAGGAAGCTTCCCTACTATCTGTTGTGCTGCTATAGGGTTATTTTGTCTGCTATATCATGAAATGTTGTATTTCTGCTGTTCTGCCTATCTGCTGTTAGAAATACATGCACAACAGCACAATGGAGCCTCTGCTTTTGTGATGAAGACTTTGTCTATTAACATCAAACCTTAATGTGGATGCCAAGTAAACAATTGTTCTCAGTCTTGAGAAATCTCACTGAAAGCATTAAGGATTAGAACATGAAAAAGAATTTTAGCTTAGGAGTTTAAGTGAATTTGTGGCAAACTCAACCTATGTCACAGAGAAAGACCATAGTAATTATTATTTGATTCTTGGTATTAATTAAAATACCAAGATAAATAACAATATCATGAATCGTTGCCCTGTCAAATAATCAAACTGAGCTGTACCTACCATGATACCCTTTGACCATTTTATTTTGGAAATCAACAGTTAAAACATGGATAAAAACATGTAATTCAAATAACAGCAGGATTTTTTTTATCAATCTGATGTCTGGATGGATGCAATAAGAAACTTGAGTTTTAAGCAAATGATTAATGCTTTTGGAATATTGACCATTATTTGAGATTTTATATTTTGAATTTCTCTGAGTCAGCTGGATATCCAAAGGGAAATGTCTTCTCAAATATGCTATTGCACTTGAATCAGTTATAGGGAATTGGGGTATGCTTCAATAAATCTCAGTTAAACAGCTTTTAATAATCTAAATAAGGTTACCTACGATTAGCATTATTTCAATAAAACTCTAAGAGAAACCTTGTGCGATTTGACTAAAAACACACATTTAAATCAGCAGGTCTTTGGAAAGCCACTGAAACTATGCTACAAATAGCAAAATAAATGAATTATAAGAAAAGTGAACAGAACCCTAAGATTTCTGTTTTGGGAAGATCAGAGGTAGATATGAACCATCTAAAAGAGGCAGATCTCAAAGTTACATTTGAAACTTCTAAACTTCTGCACTCATGGTGGATCATAATTCTTGATATGGCCGAGTTGGTGACATTAATGCGATGCCAACTCTACAACTCTACCGTATAATCAAGCATAACGTTTATAAACATTTTCATGTCACTTATGAGGTATCATCATTTATAAAAAGTTTGAGTGCTTTCATCAATCATGATACAATATTAACAACACCAATCATCTTTGAATCAGTGCAAATACTTTGTGACATATGAAAAACATATTTCATAAAGACTACAGTCTAGTCTTTAATTCTCTGCTTTGTTTATGCACCTCCGCATTTTGCTCATCCAGCAGCGGGATAAGCCTGTACTTCCAAAGTACATTCTTTAAGTAGTACAATCTTTTATTTCTATCAAAATGATCCTAAATCACTTGTCTGTGATTTAGCCTTCAGTCTAATACAGAACAGAACCTTACATTTCCCCAGCTGGTAGTAATCAAGTATTTCATTTATCTGTATTTGTTTTTCTCCCAATAAATTACTTTCACAATGGGAGAACCATATTAGATTGGGTTGCAAATACAGTAATGGAAATTGCCTAGGTAGCATTAAATTCCAGTCTATTTTAGTATGACCAAGACATGAAAAGATGAAATATGAAAAGAAAGAGACAGAGAGGAAAAACCAAACATTGTAATGAATTGCTTCAATCTCTTTAGGCATAGTTACCTAAACCCTCTACTGTCTCTTCAAAATAAATATCAGCATTTCAACAATAGTCTCCCTTTAGAAACTTATGAAATTGATTCAGTTAAACACTTCAGATGTAATGTTTGTGTAAAGAGTTGTCTTTACACAATTTGTGTAAAAACAATACATAATTTGTTCAGTTTGACATTGCAGACAAGTATAAAATTATATACACAAAATAGAAATTAGGAACAACTACTTACAAAGATACAGTATTATTTACAAAGCAAAACCTATTTTAATAGGCAGCCAGAATAACATCTTTAAACATTTTCATTGGGAGCATTATATTTTTTCTTTTGAGGTTGAGATATCAGTCTGTTATTTCAAATAGCAAGTAAAGAGAAATTGATATTCTTAATTCAAATATCTCTCTAATATGTAAATAGCAAACATTTTATTGCTTGCTTTTACAAAAAACACATATGTCGAACATAGGTTTTATTATTAGAGTCTGATTACTTAACAATTTAGTATGGACTGACTCATGATTTCATTTAGCACTATCATAGATTGCAAACTGTACTGCAAATGACTAATTCCGTTTCAACATTTCCCAAAACTGATACTATGGAAAATGTTTTCCATGCTAGCTAGGTCTAAAACAGAAACTAGAAACAGACTTTGACAGAAGATATAAATATACATACACCTATACCTGCACACAGAACTTACTGTCAAGTACTCTTTCAGCACCATGCTTTCATTCAGGGAAGTAGCATGGATATCCTTAATCACATAATGCCATCAAATTGTCTCTGGTGTTCTAACAACCAAGAGACAACCTTTACAGGTGCATGTGATCAGTCAGATCATACTTTCGTTGTCACAGGTGCCAAGTGGACTTCCAGATGACCCCCTGAAGTGGGTGCAAAGTGCAAAATTGTTGCAATGTCACAGGTTGCAGGGCATTATTGTTTCCGTGCCTTCAACTTGGGATCAGCAGGTTTTTCTTGAGTAACAGAATATCGAGGTGTGTAACCATTAATTCCATTTACAAAAACACATTGATAGTAGCGAACAGCAGCTGAAAAGAGGGAAATAAAAAGAATGATCAGAGTATTTAGCTGTAAACTAAGGAAACGTCTAACCTAGCAAAACATAGATCAGCTTTCCCAGCCTGTTGTCAAAATATGTGGCCACCAAGCCAACTCGTTGATAGAAATTCCAGGAATTGAAGTCAAACACTTTGAGAGACTGATGTAGATTATCAATGTCCAAAATCACTTTCTTCCCTAGTCAGGGATGGGTGACATCAAGAGTTTTAATAGTTAAATAAATGGCAAGCAATGTTTTATCCTGTATTTGTTTTTTCACAAATCAAAAGGGACTTTTTTTTTACCTTGCCAACTGAGATCTGAGATTGAATGGCACACACTATTCCTATATTGTTGACTGGCACAAAATACTGTGAGCAGAAATGTCAGTTATGAAGTGACATTTCTCTTTCTTCATTGCAGTTATTTCAGAATATACCCTTCATGGGGGAGAAGAATTAAAAATAGGCTCCTCGGTATTAGTAAATAGAAAATTAGAAGTCAAATACACAATGGAAATGCTAATGCATATGGACCCAAGACAGAGTTTATGCCCATTTGTATTCATTATCATATGACTTTCATATACAAGCTGTCTGAAATAATTGGATGGAGCTTTGGAGCTTCATATGTGTTTTCTTTCTCAAACAGGGCTGGGCAATCTATGGCCTGTGGGCTCCATGTAGACCCTGATTCCCCGGTTGCCACTTCTAAAGAATCTGAGCATACATTGCAGAAATTAAAGGATCCCAAGATCCCATGGATGAAATTTGATGATGGCATAATTGGAAATACTACTTTTTATTCACAACACCAAAAGTAAAAGAGAGAGAGAGGGGGGGAGGGAGAGAGAGGGAGGGAGGGAGAAGGTAATGCTTCTATTTTGACTTTTAGAAGTATGGAATGGGGAAAAGGAAAAAAAACCAAATTCAGTCAAACAATCTAATGCAGTTGTGTCACCAGCTAGCACTGTGCCCATGCCTCATGAAACAGCATCAACAAATAACAATAATAATGGTTTGTCAAACTGGGAGAAATGACTAGTTTTTGCTCAGTATAGCACTTAGACTTGTATACTGCTTCATAGTGATTTACAGCCCCCTCTAAATGGTTTACAGAATCAGCATATTGCCCCCAACAATCTGGGTCCTCATTTTACTGACCTCAGAAGGATGGAAGCTGAGTCATCCTTGAGCCACTCAGGATTGAACTCCTGGAGTGAGCAGTGAGTTAGCATGCAGTACTAGATTCTAACCGCTGTGCCACTATGGTGCAGTATAGTATGAGTTGCAATGATACAAACTACAATGTTCAATAATTGCTGCCTTCTCTGAATGTGGTGGTGATCCACTCTGCCAGCTTCCATGGAAATTCCCTCTGCCCTGCTTTCCCTGCTTTATTAATTTTATTTATTGGTTAAATTTATTTGCTGCCCATCTCACCCTGGGGTTACTCTGGGTGGCTTACAATAGTAAAAATGATTTTAAAAATGTAAATGTAACAATAGTAAAGCAATAAAACAAAAATAAACGATGAAAGTACAACAATGTGAATTAAAAGATGGGTGGGAGAAGAAGTAGGAAGAACAGGGGGACAATGGGGGTCAGCTAATTAATCCCAGTAGCCACCTCCAGTATGGTACTCCTGCACTGGATCCCCAGACCAACTGGCAGAGCCAGGTCTTCAGGCTGTCAGAGCCTGTGATTTAGGAGAAAGAAAAGAGTGAGCTCTCTCCTGATTCTTTTCCTGCCCCACAAGCAGCGGGAAGACAATGCCAATCCCAGATTTGGAATCTTTGCCTTAATGCCCATGGATGTCAGTGGGTGAGAAAACATTCAGAAGGGAAATGGAAGAATGGCTCAAGGGTCTAGCACAGGGGTGTCAAACTTGATTTCATTGAGGGCTGCATCAAGGTTGTGTTTGACCTTGGGGGGCCACGGTGGGCATGACCAGCATGACTTCACTTGTGTCAGGGCCGCCTGTAGTGGCCCGAATACTCTGCCAATGAAAACGGGCTCCCAAGCTCTGTTTTTGGCTGTGACTATGTCCTGCAACCCTCTGCTGGCAAAAACGGAGCTCAGGAGGGCCAGCACCATGGTCTGTTTTTTTGCTGTTTCCATGGTGACCCCATAGGCCAGATCCGGTCCCTGGGCCTTGAGTTTGACACCCCTGCTCTAGCATCAGACTTTTCATTAACCAAATTGCTTTGTTGGTTGTCTCCTGTGTGCCATGCCCATATTTCTTATACAATTTGTACAAGGAGATGTGCAAATTACGTGCATGTCTGTGTACATCTGCAGGCATGTACCTATCACAAACAGAGCTTCAATTATGGAGAGTATTATGAAGATATATTTTTGTTCAGTTTTCCATACAAGACAAGATGAAATTAGAGAAAAGGTGTGGTAAGATTTGCTCAAATGCATATCTTATTAATGCAGCTCCAAGTCTTTATCAATTAAATGCTTGTCCTCTAAATGGGACTCCTTTTTTCTCGGTGCACATTTTTTGATGCTGGTCATCATATTTGATGTGTCAAATAGCTTGCAGCTGCCTAGGAAAGAATGTTAAATTTTCTTGACCTGAATATAAAAATGTTGCTAATTAGAGATATCTCGATGCAATTCCATCTTGAGCCAAATATGTAATGAGTTATGCTTGTGGGTCAGGAGCAGGTCACTCAGCAGACATCTTTCATTAAAGCAAAGTACTTTGGCAGCAAAGGCAAAGCAGATGGAGAGTTCATTAACACACTGTGTCACGAAACAACATCATAGTTCACTTTGATTAACTGATCCACTGAGAACAGGATCATTTTATTTTTATTTTTTTAAAAAAATATCCAAAATAACCAGGCACCTTTTGTCACTGTAAAAGACCAGCAACATCTGATGTTATAAGTTTGTCATAAGCCTTTGGCAACTTATGATGTCATGGGTACATCAGTCTTAATCAGAGGTGGGTTTCAGCAGATTCTGACCAGTTCTGGAGAACCGGTAGCAGAAATTTTGAGTAGTTCGGAGAACTGGTAGTAAAAATGCTGACTGGCCCCACCCCCATCTATTCTCTGCCTCCCAAGTCCCAGCTGATTGGCAGGAAATGGGGATTTTGCAGTAAACTTCCCCTGGATTGGGGAGGGAATGGAGATTTTACAGTATCCTTTCCCTACCACACCCACCAAGCCACGCCCACCAAGCCATGCCATGCCCACCAAGCCAACCCACAGAACTGGTAGTAAAAAATTTTAAAACCCACCACTGGTCTTAATGTTCATTTGGGCTGCAAGAGAATAAATAGCTAGCCCTTAGAAACAAAACCACAACCCCAAAAACCCACTCTCAATTTACATCTTATGCCCAACCTGTGATGAAGTTATCTACCTGGACCAAAGGGACATGTTCTTTATGGCACTTTTTATTCCTTGAACCTTTGCATGTCACTTAAAAGAAAGAAGTGGTTTCTTAAAGAATGACATCTAAAGGGATTGGCAGCCTTCGGTGAAGAAGAGAAGGAGGAAGAGCTTCATTAGTGTCATGGGCAGCTAGAGAGGGAGAAGAAAACCTTTCCTGAGATGGATAGGCCAAGGGTACAAGTATCCAAAATACAAACAGAAGTAAAATATGCTACATTTTTAGTGCCCTAATAATGCTCAAATCATTTTCATCCTTTCAAATCCATGCCAGACATTCCTTAAAAAATTCCAAAGAAGATACTCTCTACAACCCTACAAACCAAAGATTGCATCGGCAGCAGTTAAGCAGTTATTCAAAGCATTATACCTTTGAATATCTGTTGGGCATGCTGGTATGAAGTTTGCAAAGTATATTAGATGTTTTGTCCACAGTAGATTTGTTATTGAAAGAAATAATATTGTGGCAATGGATTTCTCCATGAGCAGTACTCCATATGATATGGAGGTATAAATCTGCACGTGTGTCTTAACCAAGTTACTATTTATACCATTATCTCATAGAATTAAAATGGGACTTCTTACTCATTTTCTGTTGCCTTGCCTTGCATTGATTGGCAGGAGTTTCTCCAGGCATACTGTTTGAATGCTTGCCAATGCTATCAATGTCACCAGTAAAACATAACTTGTACACATTATTTTGGTCTACAACAATTATTGGAATAAGAGAAAGGACATGGCTGCTAATTAGTATTGTTATTCAATCATTCAGTCTCTTCCAATTCTTCATGACCCAATGGACATCATTTTGCCAGGATTGTCTGCCAGTAATTGCTTCTCGACATTTCTATTCTGACAGCATCCAGTATGTTTTGTTCTGACAGTCCAGGTACAAATAGTATATATATTTTTGCAGCACTAAATTTCCTTTTTGCCTCTGGGGATTTAACAGCTGAATATGCTTTTAGCTCTATTCCAGCCTTATCACGGTTACTACCAATATGAATGTCTGTGACTTGCTCTTAAATCTTCTAATATCATGTTGACATAAATCTGATTGTGAATATTCTATCCTGGCAAATTTCTGGAGTAGGCTGCTATTTCCTTCTCCAACAGATTGTCTTTAATCTAATTCATCATTTATGACCTACCTATCAATGGGTGGCTCTGTACATAGCCAACAGTATAGTTCACAGTCTTGTCTGGGATGTATGAGGTGTTTTAACCACTATCAGGTAATTAGTATATTTAAGTGTTAATTAATTGAATTATCATTAAGAAGCAGCAAAATGGAGTAAAAAGTATTAATTATAAACATTTAGATAAAAATAATTGAACAAGTCCAACAGTTCCTATGTTAACTATGGTAAATCTGATTTAACACTGTCAGTATGTTCATTATTGCTTGCTCCCTAGATTTCTGCATTGGATAAAGTCCAGTTTTTCTTTGTTCAGTTGTTAATTTTTCCCTCTAGGTGTTTATAATCAGCAATCTTACTTGTAAGCAAGACAATGCAACATAAAGTCCACAATATATCACAGATATGCTCTCATCCTGACATCTCTTATAGAAACCAATAGGTTGTAATTGAAGCCCAAACAACCTAGGCAGAGGTGGGTTTCAGCAGGTTCTGACCAGTTCTGGAGAACCGGTAGCGAAAATTTTGAGTAGTTCAGAGAACTGGTAGTAAAAATTCTGACTAGCCCCGCCCCCAATCTATTCTCTGCCTCCCAAGTCCCAGCTGATTGGGAGGAAATGGGGATTTTGCAGTAACCTTCCCCTGAAGTGGGGTGGGAATGGAGATTTTACAGTATCCTTCCCCTGCCACATCCACCAAGCCACACCCACAGAACCAGTAGTAAAAAAATTTAAAACCCACCACTGATCCTAGGATAATTATGCTGGAGGTTATTTTACTTAGCTCTAGTTCATGGATGAAACATTAATGCCACAGAACAGTCCTCTCACTCAGGTTAATCAGAATGTGGTTATAGAAAGCTACTTGTGTTCTCTGGATGAAAGCAAACAACTGTAAAGGTTCTCACACAGCCAAATACCAGATCTGGCTACCAAAACATGAAACAGATGGAAATTGTATCTCCCACCCAAGATAATTGCTTTTAGAAAGGGTAGAAGAAAGAGATGCAAAAAAAAAAAAGTGAACATGAAACCTTATGAACAGTGCTTGCATTTGATAAATGCAAGATGCCGTCACTGTTTCATAATGGCCCCTGAACTTTTCTACAATTACACTACCTTATCAAAAATTCTGGGATTCTCGATGCCCGTTTAATTAGATCCAGTCCAGCCTGCTAGAGAAAGCCTGACAACAATGGTAGGTATTTCAGCAGCCTCATGCAAGAGAAATTTACATCATGTTCAGTGAATACAGAAGTGATGCATCACATCAAATGGTCAACATTGCAGCTTGCATATGTGAACCAGGCCATAAAGGACTTCCCAAAACCGTTAAATGGCCATAAACAAAGCTTAGAAGCAATAGAATTCTTTGTCTTTTATTTCTTTTATGGCTCATTAATACACTGGTTCAGATAGAAGACTGTCCCTAAAAAGAAACTTTCTCAGTGAAAACATCTTCCCTCTCACTGGGGCAATCAACTTACAAGATCAAGATAATAATTCACATCAGAAACAAAATAAAACAACCCTTCTCTCAACAGTATCATTCATGCAGGAGACATATGTATGGGGAAGAAGTAAGCCACTGAACCTACTTAGGTGTTTTTCCATTCCAGTTAGTTAATATTCTGTCTTTATTATTTTTACAAATAATAATAATAATAATATTCTGCCTTAATTATTTTTACAAATAACTCAAGATGATGAATATATACAACCCATCTTCCTCTTCCTAGTAAGATGGAAACATGTCATTTGATTCACATTCATTGATAAAAATAAGGGTTTTCAATCTTTCAATCAAGGGTCTTTCAATCAAAAAATAGTGCATCAACATGGACAGTCATTAGCGTGATCAGTACACAGATTCTGTTCAGCTAATCTGAACTTTTCATACGTTTATGTAGGTCCATTTTTAAGAGTTGAACCCCCCCCAAAAAAGAACCCCTCTTTCTTCAAAGAAGATGATAAAGTCAAGGCTAATAATTATTCTAAGAATGTACAGCAAGTCTTCCATTTAGTAGAATTATAGCTTAGAATTTTAAAAATGGGTTCATGTGGGATTTTGGCCTCTCATGAGCACAATTTTCATCTGCAAAAAATTAGTGGAAGTTGAAATTCTAACCTGTACTGAATGTGAATTAAAAGGTAAAAATAAAGGTTCCCCTCGCATATATGTGCTAGTCGCTCCCAACTCTAGGGTGTGGTGCTCATCTCCGTTTCAAAGCCAAAGAGCCAACGCTGTCCGAAGACGTGTCCGTGGTCCTATGGCCGGCATGATTAAATGTCAAAGGCGCACGGAACGCTGTTACCTTCCCACCAAAGGTGGTCCCTATTTTTCTGCTTGCATTTTTTACATGCTTTTGAACTGCTAGGTTGGCAGAAGCTGGAACAAGTAACGGGAGCTCATCCCATTACACGGCACTAGGGATTCAAACCGCTGAACTGCCGACCTTTCAATCAACATGCTCAGCATCTTAGCCACTGAGCCACGGCATCCCTTATGTGAATTACTGAATTACAAATTAATTTTACTGACTTGAGTCTTATTCTTGGTATTAAAGAATCATTGTACTACAACTATAATAATGTAAATCCTTCCCATCCTAAACATCAAAAGCAAATTGTAGAAGATGGAGAGCTGAAGATTTATGCAATGGCCATAATCTATGACACAATTACTGGAAAGGGAAGGAGTGAATAGGTGTGTTTTTGTGGAGTTACATTTTTATTACAACCAAACAGAAGAGCAGAATTCAAAACATTATTCTAATAATTACACAGCTGTTGGAAAAAGTCTGATATATGGTAGCTGACTTATATAGAAATCATTTTTCTGAACTATCCCCTCTTGTACTTGTGCAGGTGGCAACACAAAATGTATGAAAAAGGATGTCTTGTTCACATTTTTTGTACTAATTTATCTTTTCTCCTTCACAATGCAACTGCTTTCAAGATTAGCTTAATCTTACAAAATATGTAAAATGAGCTTTCCCTCATTAACTAGTTTTCAAAGGCAAATTGTTCATTCTTTCTTAATCTGACAAGATGAGGCGAAACAATACTGTGGATACCGAGTTACATGTCCTGACAAGGAATTAAAGTCACTTGAAAATCAAAGATATTTGCAAGGCCTTTAACTTACTTCCTGGTTTTGCAGCTTTTGAATTTTTTTCTGAAAAGAAAGAAAGAAAGAAAATCTCAAAAACAGGGAGAGAATCTGTAGAGCAAGTTTCTTTGCTAATTCTTTGCTAATCAATTAATTCTTTGCTTTCTTTGCTAATTTGCTTTCTTTCAATTGCTTTCTTTGCTACTTAATTAAGTTAATCCGGCAGCATTTTTGAAGTTACATCATACTGAAACTCAAAACAGCTATGACTATGAATGTCTTTGATAATGGGATGAAAGACTTTTTTTTTTTTTTTTGCACAGTTGTATAAGAAACCCTCCTGGGTGATACCATAAGGCTTCCTTATTTGTCCATCTTTGAATATTCTTTTCAGGGACATGGAAACCACTTCCAAGACATTCCAGAAGAGATTTGTTTTCAGCTGCTTCCAAAAGACAGTCAGCTTCAGAACTAACCTACATTCCAGAAGGAGGCCATTCCAAAAAACTGGTGCTGCTACAGAAATGCAACATGCCTCCTATACCGTGATGGCGAACCTATGGCACATGTGCCACAGGTGGCATGCAGAGCCCTTTCTGCAATTACACGAGCCATTGCCCCAGCTCAGCTCCATCATGCACATGCCTCCTGCTGGCCAGCTGATTTTCTGGTCTCTGCTGCGCATACACGGTTGGGTGAGGCACATGCAGGAGACATGTGTGCATGCACGGCTGGGCATGGCATGGTGGGGGGGGGTCATGCGCGCATTGCATTATGGGTTATAACTGCATGGAGGTCTACTAGGCCCAAAATTGGGTGCGGGGGGGGGTGTGGTGTGGCCCCCTTACGGCCCATTTTTGCTCCCAGGAGACTGTAGGGAGGCCTACTAGACCGAAAACAGGGAGTGGGGGGTGCGGTGCGCCCCCTATGGCCTGTTTTTGCTCCCAGGAGGCTGCAGGGAGGCCTACTAGGCCCAAAATGGGGCACAGGGAGCATAGGGGGGGTCGCGTGTGCATGCATGGGGGTGGAGGGAGCACAGGGGGTCATGCACACATGCACAGGGGGTGGGGGGTCACACAAGCATTGCATTATGGGTGCGGGTGCATGTGCATAATGTCACACATGCACATTTTCAGCACGCGACAACAAAAAGGTTAGCCATCATTGTCCTATACCATGTGGAAGTGGGGAGGAAATATCATTTTTCCCAAAAATATTAAATCGGTTAGGTTGATTCTCATTGGTAAAAGCAGCCCTGAAACTAACTTGCTGCCAAGCCATAAACTTTAAATCATATCTGAAAACCTAAGGAAGCCAACAGATGGCCCACGTGTGAATGTCAGATTCTACATCGGCCCCATTTTGGACTGCCTACAGCTTCTGAATGGTCTTGTAGAATAGCTGCAGAAAATCTAACCAAGTGTTAATGAGGGCATGGATCACTATGAGAAGATCCCGGGTAGGGCTGCAACTGGAGCTCCTGCTCAAGTTGGACAAATTTCCCCCCACCCCACCATAGTATATCAAACAGTAGAAAGTTATGGCTTGGGAAATAGCCACATATGAGTTCAATCATCAAGTAAAAATGTGGTTTTTCATTAAGATCAATGGATCTCAATAGTGAACAATTAATAATAAATCTTAATAGGCACTGGATTTAAAGAGTAAGGGGGGAGGAGGAGGGGGAGGAGGTGGAAACCAAACACCAATTACCTGTAGTCATATTGTAATAAAAATGGACTGCTTTTTCTGCAGGAACTGTTAAACAGAACAAAAATATTTAATTGTTTTGGATTCTAAATGCAAGTGTTATAGACATAGAAATAATATATAGATACATAAACATTCACATTATGTCCACAGCTACTCTCTTCAAAGAACTGTACATGTTTCACAGTGTTTAGTTAGCCTTTAATCAAAGTCCATGAGACTTTAACAAGGCTAGAGGGAAAACTTCCTTGGATCACAAAAGGTCCTCACTCATGATGAAGGATGAGTGACCATGTTTCTATCTTTCCCCATCTTTCTCCTAGACCAGGGGTGTCAAACTCAATTTCATTGAGGGCCGCATCAGGGTTGTGTTTGACTCGGGGGGCCGGGGTGGGCGTAGCCAGGGTAGACGTGACCAACTCAATGTTACCCATGTTCGGGGTGCCTGTGGTGGCCCAAGCGCTCTGCCAGTGAAAACAGTTTCCCGAGCTCCGTTTTTAGCTGCAACAGCTCCTGCAACCCTCTACCAGCGAAAACAGAGCTCCATTTTCACTGGCAGAGGCACCGTAGGCCAGTCCTTTGCTGTTACAAGAGCAGCCCCGCAGGTCAGATCTAAGCACCCCACAGGCCGGATCCAGCCCCCAGGCCTTGAGTTTGACACCCCTGTCCTAGACCTTTCAGAACCAATTCCATTCCCCATCCCCAAGAATACAGTACTTACAGAGGACCAACTGATTTCTAGAAAAGCTAAATACCACAACAGTCCAGTTTCAAACAAAAATCTAGAAGCTTATTGTTCTTCTCTTAAAAGTAACTCTCTAGATTTATGGTTTGTAAGGACAATTGTATATTGCTGTAATAAGAAGAGGGAGACAAAGACTCTAATCCAGGGCTGTCAAATTCAAGACCCAGAGGCCAGATCCGGCCTGTGGGGTAATTAGATCTGGCCCAGGGAGTCACCCTGGAAACAGCGAAGGGCTGGCCTGCAGTGCCTCTGCCAGTGAAAATGGAGCATGGGAGGGCTGCGTGTGGCCCTCCTGAGCTCTGTTTTCGCTGGCAGAGGGTTGAAGGAGGCCATTGCAGCTGAAAACAGAGCTTGGAAAGCCCCACCGTGGCCATTGCCACCCTGGCCCCCCAAGATCAAACACAATCCTGATGTGTTTGATCAATGAAATTGAGTTTGACACCTCTGCTCTAAACTAGTTCATCCACTGAAGCTCACTGGGTGATTCTGGACTCGCTCTGCATCACTCCAACCTACTTCACCGGAAGAGGTTTGCGTAGATTGCCTTGAACTCTTGAATGAATGGCTGGATAGAAACCTAATACATACATACATACATACATACATACATACATACATACATACATACAGTGGTGGGATTCAAGTAATTTAACAACCGGTTCTCTACCCTAATAATTTCTCTCAACAGTTTGCCAAACTGCTCAGAAAGTTAACAACCGGTTCTCCCAAAGTGGTGCAAACTGGCTGAATCCCACCAATGCATACATACCAGAGGTGGTATTCAGCAGGTTCTGACCAGTTCTGGAGAACCGGTAGCAGAAATTTTGAGTAGTTCGGAGAACCAGTAAATACCACCTCTGACTGGTCCCGCCCCCATCTATTCTCTACCTCCTGAGTCCCAGCTGATCGGGAGGAAATGGGGATTTTGCGGTAACCTTCCCCTGGAATGGGGAAGGAATGGAGATTTTACAGTATCCTTCCCCTGGAGTGGGGTGGGAATAGTGATTTTATAATATCCTTCCCCTGCCATGCCCAGCAAGCCATGCCCAGCAAGCCACGCCACGTCCACCAAGCCACGGCCACAGAACCAGTAGTAAAAATTTTTGAATACACCACTGGATACGTATGTATCCACCACTGATACATACATACGTACCTTTGTCATGTTTTACTTTCAAGGGTGTCTTTTCAACTGTTTTTCCTGTATAAGTAAAAGAAAAAGAGAGAAGAATTAAATACAATATTTAAACTGAAGTTCATACAATCCACTTTGTTAATATTAAGGTAAGTGAGGAAGGAAAGATATTAGCAAATTCAGAGAACAATTACTTTTCATGCAGTCTTTTAGAAGGCCAAAAAACAAACAAACAAACAAAAAAAAACCAACCCCAGTCTTACCATGTTTTTCCTTCTTTTCTCTCAAAGATTTTTCTGCTTTTTTCTCATCTACAAAGAATGTTCAAATCATAGGGGTTAAACTTTAGGGGACTTGGATATTTGCATATTGTTTCACAAACTCTTGGAGAAAACAAGCTTGTGATTTCCGTCTGTCAGCAGCAGGGAAGTTAAGTGTGGTTGGAAACAAAACAGATCTTATATTTTGCACATTTACATGCTCTTCTATGGACTTGGATTGAATCATATCTCAAGTGATTTGATATATGCACAGATGTCTTTCTTCAGCATCCGTTTTTTTCCAGGCATCCCTGAATACAGTCAATCAACTGTGACTTCATACAAGAAGACAGACTCAAATTAACTAAGGTGCAGAGCTGGAGCATGGCTGCCACTCTGATACTTCCTGCTGAGAACAACAGCAGGTAGTTGGCAGTTTGCCATAAAGCTGTTCATTCTATGTCCCCACCCCCGAATCCAGCTCACTTTAATGCAACTTCAGTCTCTATTTGCTCAACTGTGAGCAGCCTGGCATAATCTCTCCACATGCTACATTACCCTCCCAGACATTAACAGTCAGATAATTCCAAGTAAGTGATTAAAATTTGCGGCTACCTTGAAGACGAAGTGAGTGATAAAAATAGAATATTCGACACTTTTAGATCTTTTAATGGGACAAATATAATTAGTTTTTATGGTGCTCAGTAGGTATATCAGGTGAGGTTCTGGGTACATTAAGCTCCATCAGGTACACGGTTCTTGTGGCTTGTTATTACATATATTATATGTATGTATGTACTATATGTTATGTACATATACTATATGTTTACCTGCAACTTTGAGTTCAGCTGTTGCTTTTTCTGGTCTTTCTATTGGGTAGCATGGAGATAGAAAGAGAAAGAAAAAAAATAAGTACATCTATATAAATCTTCATACTTTGAGAGTTTGGGGCTGTTTTTGACACAGGTAGTTATTTATATGACTATAATAGAATCTGCCCATTATGGTCATACATTGTAAAGTTTATAAAACATGATCAACCTGATATTATAACCTTTTTAGTGGCAGTCATAAAGTGGTGGTTATTAAGCAAACCTATGGTTTTCTATGGGCGTGGTTTTGCAGAAAGCAGGAAATAGATGCCAGTTTTCAGCCAAACGATTGTAAAACAGTCATGTGATCACAGGATGCTGCAAATGGCCATCAATGTGGCTGTATTGCCAAGTGATCACATGACCTTGGGGGGATCTGACCATTGGAACATTGAATCTGGGTTGTGAGTACTCCCAAAGTAGGTCTGTTGTAACTTTGAATGAGCACTAAGTAACGAGTTGTAAATCAAAGACTACCTGTATAATGTATGTTGCATACACTGTGCATATAAAAACTCTTTTGCTTTTTTGTTTTTTGCCTTTAATTTATATGCCGCCCTTCTCCGGAGACTCAGGGCGGCTTACAATGCGTTAAGCAATAGCCTTCATACTTTTCTATATTTATACAAAGTCAGCTTATTTCCCCCACAATCTGGGTTCTCATTTTACCTACCTTTGAAAGGATGGAAGGCTGAGTCAACCTTGAGCCTGGTGAGATTTGAACTTGCAGGAATTGCAAGCAGCAGATGTTAATAACAGTGCTTTGGACCACTGTACTACAGGCTCTTTTTTAAGTTAATGTAGAAATATTTCACTTGTAAAAACAAGCTCTACACGTTGTCCCAAAGGTATTTTTTCCAAAGGCAACTGGACTTTGGTTTTCCTTGAAGACCTTTTTTTTAAAAAAATTGATTTAATTTGATTTATATGCCGCCCTTCTCCGGAGACTCAGGGCAGCTTACAATGCGTTAAGCAATAGCCTTCATACTTTTGTATATTTATACAAAGTCAGTTTATTGCCCCCACAAACTGGGTCCTCATTTCACCTACCTTAGAAAGGATGGAAGGCTGAGTCAACCTTGAGCCTTGGAGAGATTCGAACCAGCAGTAAATTGCAGGCAGTTGTGTTAATAACAGGGTGTTTAGACCACTGTACCAGCAAGGCTCCTTTCACTTCTCATTCAAGAAGCTTCTAAAGTTCTGGCCAAAGAAGTTTCTTGGATGAGAAGCAAAATGTCTTCAAGCAAAAACGAAGTCCAGTTGCCTTTGGAAAAAGCACCTTTGGAAAAAGCAACCATGACCTGGATGACTGAGAATCTCCACAGACATCAAGCTGTACACATTGAATTACCCTAATCTAGCCCACAAGATATCTGAGAAAATATAAGGGCAGTGAAAATGGAAACTTTTAAGATATAAAGAAGCTGACAGGAATTTTTGGCAGATTATAGATATTATGAATTAGATTTTTGTCATTTTATTTTCTTGCAAGATAAAAGGGCTAGTCTAAACTTATTATTCCAGATATAGACTAGTCTTCTTGAATAAATGTCTTTCAGATATGTTGGATTATGTTTCCGACAATCCATCAGTCAGAAGATCAATGGACACAGGTTCAGGATAAAAGTGATAGCTGGAGGGTGTCCATTAGGAAAGTCTGATCTATTTTAATGCCAAAACTGAATATATTGGATTTTGCCTTGGGACTTGATATTATTGTTTTAATGCAATCTTTTCTACAGATTATCTCCAGTTAGTATCCATTTTACATTCTTGCAACATGGCAGACATCTAAAATTATTTGAAATATTGATTACAGCTACAGACGAGGGGCACATCAAACAGTTTAATATTTATTGAGTAGAAATATAAGACATAAATAAAAAAGTAAATATAAATGTAGAAGACAGAGCCTTGTCTTTTCATGCAGCTATGTTACATGAAAATATTTTTTTAGATTTAAATAATTAAAATATAGAATGCACCAATAGTCTTTTTAATGCAAATAAAGTTCCTGATGTTCCAAAATACTAAACATCTTCCACAAGCAATTAATTAGCGATCTAGCAAAATAGATAAGTAGTGAAAGAAAGATAGAAATAGATAATGACTTTTAAAATATAATTCCAATTACTTCTGTTCGTGATTGATAGATATAGAAATAGATAATTTAGGGTTTCCTTCATGTTACTATCTTTATCTTCCTCATTTTAAACTAATGCAAAGATTATTCAAATTTAGCTAAGTTAATACATTGGTATTCATAGATGTTCTTCAGTTATCCATCAGATAGGAGACAATTGATAACAAAACACAATAATCAGTGTAGTAAGTCATTCTCTAAAGAGCAGCAATCTATATGTGTAGCTATCCTCTATCTGTACTTGAAGTAGGGGCACAAATATTTAAAGAGAGCTATTTGCAGCATAATATTACATTAATTATATATTGATTATCACAGCAGTGTAAAAGCTTACAATCTTTTAACAAAATGAGTAAGAATAAAGTATGAAATTTGGTGCAAAATCTTTTTTGGCACCAAGACTAAATTTGGCTAGAAGAAAGCCATATTATCATAATGTGTTGCTAAGTTTGTATTCAAGTTCAGAGACAATGTGATCAGAGGGAGTTCATTTTGTAGTCATGGAAGACATGAAGTAGACAAATGGAGGGACTGTGGGATTTAAAGAATGCTATGCAACTATTAATGCCTCTAAACAGCGGTTAACTCTTCAGTTCATTAACTTCATAAAGTTCAGCTCATTAACTTCATAAAGTTTCAGATTGTTCATCAACCCTCAAACATTTATCATATAATTTAATAAATACTAATTTAACTACTACTACTACTACTACTACTACACAGGGACATGGTGGCTCAGTGGCTAAAATGCTGAGCTTGTCGATCACAAGGTCAGCAGTTCAGCAGTTCAAATCCCTAGTGCCGCATAACAAGATGAGCTCCCGTTACTTGTCCCAGCTTCTGCCAACGTAGCAGTTTGAAAGCACGTAAAAAATGCAAGTAGAAAAATAGGGACCACCTTTGGTGGGAAGGTAACAGCGTTCCATGCGCCTTTGGCATTTAGTCATGCCGGCCTTATGACCACGGAGATGTCTTTGGACAGCACTGGCTCTTCAGCTTTGAAACGGAGATGAGCACTGCCCCCTAGAGTCAGGAACGACTAGCACATACAGTATGTGCGAGGGGAACCTTTACCTTTACTGCTACTACTACTACTACTACTATTAATAGTAGTAGTAGTAATAGAGAGTCCCATTGACCCTTGGGGGTTGATATTGACCACTCTGGATAAACCTAATCTTAAAAAAAATATGTAGAAGATCTGCTATCTTCTACTGGCTATATTGTAATGGCACAGAAATATTAGCAAGTAATTGAGAGTCACAGTAATTTTTACCAGTTATTCTCTATATTTAAACATTTATTTTATAGCAAACTGCAACTTGCAATTCACTACAGGGAACACACTGCTTCTTTGCACATGGATAGTTTCCATAAAATATAAAAAGAGACGCCTCCTGAGAACAGTTACAGATTACATTCTCTGACATCATCTATCCAAAGCCTCTTTTAATTACATTTACTTTGCAATATAACTAATTCTTATTATATTACTTAATATTATGCTCTCTGTGGCAATAAAAGATGATATGTAACACAAAGATATTCATTATTGGTGCTGAAGGAAAAAGTTCCAAATGTGTCAATCTGCTATAGATTATTATTGCATTTAAACTCTTCTTATATCAAGAAAATTCACATTGGGCTCATTCATGGGGCAGCCCTGAAAGTTGTTGATGGAACCAGGTGTGTCTGCAGGGAAAGGGATCAAAAAAGCCAACATGCAATCAAAACTCCACCCCTTTTTTACATTTTAAAAAGAGGCAGGCTTTGATCACATGGATGTAGACACAATCTTGACTTTTGACCTTCTCCTTGCAGGCATCCCTGAAAGAAACACTGGTATTTCAGCGTTCTATCTTTTTACATGTGAACTATTTATATTCTTTACTGTTTTAAAAAAAATGACATAAATATAAGAAAGTAAAATATTAATCACCTTTAATTGTCAAATGCATTATTTAAGATTCTTGGCTAACAATAGTTGGGAAATTCTATTAATTCAATATGTTAAAGTGCATAACCACCTTTTCAGAAAAAGATGGAATAGCAGCAAAGACATTATTAGCAACCAAGTTAACAAGGCTATTTAAATTGCAGGTTTAGAAAAAGCATTCACATGCAAAGCAGGGCAGCAAGTGTAAATATAACATGACACATCTTGTAATTTCTTTGGACTTGGAGAGAAATTAAAAAACTGTACTTCTGTGGAGGAAAAGGAGAAAAGGATAATGTTGGGTTGTAGTTTTTAAACTTGCTTTTGGCTTAGATTCTACACATATTGCATGCCCTCCCCCCTCCCCACCACCAACAAAGAAAAATTCATGCTTACTTATGAATAAGGACAGAAAGGTGCATCCCTATTATTTAAGCCAAGAGCAAGCCTATAGATTGTAGAATAGCAGTAATGTCTGATGCTCAAGGCTTTATTATTCTGCTCAGTTTGTCAATTCCTTCTCCTACTTTGCCAAGTGGTTGTGTGAAGTGTGAATATTAGAATAAATACCTGGTTTTGCTGGATGAGCTCCTTTTTCATGCCCAAGAACTTCTTGTTCTAAAAAGTGGGAGCAATACAAGATAAATTCAACATTGCTTTGCCGTTGTATTGTATAGTCTCTGCTCTTAACTTTTAAATTCTTTTCAGATGGATTTCACACAAAACGAGTCATTCCAGAATTACTGAGAGAAGAGCAACAATGTTAGCCCTGTCTTCTGAGGTTCTCAAACTAGTATACAGTAGATAATGAATTGACATGTGTGGTCATGCATAGGGTATCTTTGAGAAGATAAGCCTACACACAATACAGTTCTGGAATGGGTATATTAGCAGTCTGTTGAGAACATGCAAATGGTAAGTCTTGATAACGTCATAAAATCTCCTTCATATAAAAGGAATAAGGACCTATGCAACTAGGGCCATCAACCACTGCAGGCAGGAGAAATCTTTTAAAATGATTAGACCTAGCAGGTTCCTCAATGACCTGAAGCACTTCTGTTAAGCACTACTCCATTCTGAGGAACTCCATGAAATGAAACAAATGAAAAAAAAACAAAACATTGGGTTTCCAGTTGAGTAGTCTAGTTCTATTAGAATCCTGATCAGTGCCTTCTCTACACTGCTTCTTCAGAAATATCATGAAATTTCTAGGTTAGATTTGCAACAAACAGGATTAAGATTGTACTTCACAATAATTTATTCATAGATTATCATAGATAGATAGATAGATAGATAGATAGATAGATAGATAGATAGATAGATAGATAGAAGACAGACAAGACAGACAGACAGACAGACAGACAGACAGACAGACAGACAGACAGACAGACCATGCTGGGGGCAAAACCTTTGTCTCTATTGCTCAGTAAAATCATACCATACTATAGGATATTATTATATAGTCTGGGAAATCATGTGACAGTCACATATATTTCTGGAGTAAAGTGATTATGACTACTCCATACAGCTAAGGTATGATTATAAACACATTTCAATGAGAAAATACAACAGCCATCTGTATGTGAATGGAACTCAATGTACCTCCTTATGGAATTTCCAAATCCGCTCTGGAGAATTTCCAAATACCACAGCTGGTTTAGAAGGTAGGCAAAGGATAAATGTTTGCCACTGTCAGTAAAAACCCAACTGGCAAATATCATTGAATTCTAACCATCATCACTGTTCTTGTATTTTTTAATAGTTGTAACGTTTAGAAACTTACTTGGTGGTTTATGTTCTGCCTCCTTGCCTAAAAAAAAACAAAAAAACAACAACAAGGGAAACAAAGAAAAACAAAATAAAACAGTTAATTTTAGTTCCTGTGTGCCTCTAATCTTTAGAACATAAAAATTGCAAAATGAAACACAATAATGTAATTTTCTATGCAATGGTTTTCCAGGCAATAAAATTCAATTTATGGTAATAGTGTTCCAAATTATGCATTTATGTTTATATACCACCAGAGTCATAACAGTGTCAGCACACAGTAGGCAACTTTCATTCTTTTTTTTAAAAAAAAAAAATAACGTTATTAAAAATTATAAATGAAAAGAATAAAAATCAATACATAGAGTACTGCAAAAATATAAACAGGAAAATATACAAAAAAGAAAAACCAGGGAGTGTGTAAAAGGAAAAAAAAATAATAAAGGAGAAAGAGAGAGAGAGAGAAAATGACTTCCTCCTTCATCCCAGCGGGTAAAAACAGTGTTACTAGTTTATCACCGTCTCTAAATAAAATGTAATCTCTCTTCTCCCCATAGCTCATCTCCTATCAGATACAAAGAATCAGGACTATTCATAAAGTTGCAGCATAGAAGATTTATTCAAGCCTATACACAAGAATCTGGTCAAATAAAGTTCAACACTAAATTGTGCCAGATAAGGGTCAACAGAATTCAAAATGGATTGAATATGGAACACTTGTGGGAATACAATGACTCTAAAGTGATGATGCCCTACCCCCAGCTTTGTCTACTCTTCTCTTATATCTCTTAAGTAAAACAACAACAACAACAACAACAAAACCCAGGCAAAATGCTATGTGAATCAATCTTTGTCAACAAAAGTCCAGTAAGGGCAATCAGCTATAACTGTTTTCTTTTTTTTTAACCCTGGCCAAGCAAGACAATCTTATAAACTTTCCTTAGTTTTCAAATTACTCTTTAACCCCTTCAAAAAAAAAAAAAAAATCCCAGAGTAGTTTGCTGATCATTTATCACAACTTTAACGTATTTATTTTGTATCAATAAGTAACTTTTATCCTTTTGTTTGTCACTTCTAAAATAATCCTTTCAAATCATGACAGAACTCTTTTGTAAATCAAGAAAAAAAAATCCAAATCAGTTTTCTTGGTTTAATATCTGTTTATCCCCTTTAGGGAATAAATCACCCATCAGATCCATTTGTATTACATTTACTGTCTCCCTCAAATTAATTTCATAGCTATCCATTGCAGCTCATTCTTACTTTACAACTTCATTGGAACATGCTCTGTCAATTTTATCAAGCATTTGATCCATTATGTCAAAAGTTTGGCTGAGAAGTATTCAAAAGTTTGTACTAAGGATTTCTGTTCCATTTTCTTTATCCTCTAGCTCTAGTGCTCAGCCTTCAAGGTAATTAGTGGCATCTACCTCAAAGGTATTGTTCCATAGGGAGCAAATTAATGGTAGTGATTCAGTGCCATTGTTTGACAAAGCACAGACAGAGTTCAGGAAATTCCTTACTTTTGTTGTCTACCATATAAACATTTATTGTGGTTACATCAGAGGGACTTGTAAAAGTCAAAATTCCTAGGCATATATTTAAGAAGCATGCTCCTATCTCAAAATAATCAATTCTTCTGGGCTCATTAATTTTGGACACTATTTATTTGGGTCCCTCTCTTGGTATCACCTGTCATTATTCTTTATAATCATTTTATAATTTTAATGAGTTGTCTCTTCTTTCTAGAATGCCAAGAGGGTATTAATTATATACTCTTTTTATGTGTGTGCAAATGGGCCACAGACAATGTTTCCAAATGAAAATTCTTCAAGTAAGTGAACCAGTGGTGGGTTTCAAAATTTTTTACTACTGGTTCTGTGGGTGTGGCTTGGTGGGCCTGGCAGGGGAAGGATACTGTAAAATTTCCATTCCATCCCCAATCCAGGGGAAGGTTACTGCAAAATCCCATTTCCTCCCGATCAGCTGGGACTTGGGAGGCAGAGAATAGATGGGAGTGGGGCCAATCAAAATTTTTTATTACCGGTTCTCTGAACTACTCAAAATTTCCACTACCGGTTCTTCAGAACTGGTCAGAACCTGCTGAAACCCACCTCTGAAGTGAACCATAGTGCCAGAAAATATTTCCTGATTTACAGGAGCATGCCTACTCTAAAAGAAATAGTCATTTAATAGAACATGTAAGAGAATGTATGTCCATGCATATGCACATGCACAAAAGAGATGATAAGAAAAAAATCATAAAGTAATATATGTATATAATGACAAGAGGAAAACAATCAGTTTAGAATCATTAACTATGCTGAGCGAAAATCCCAAAAAATGGCAAAGAAAAGAATATAAAAATGCCTGTTGTCAGAACAGATAATGGAAGCCATCTTTTTCTTTGGATCTTCAGGACTGTCACATTTAGTGCTGTGGGAAATTGGGAGGGGGGATTGCATGGAGTTGCAGGGATACCTAGCCATAATAACATTCTTTTCTCTGAGAGTCAAGGGCATCCAGCCTGCACCTGGAGTCGCGTGACAGGGATGCATCTCCAGTTGGGATAGTGCATTGATTGGACCATGTGATGGACATGTAGGTGCAGGGGGAAGGGACTTGGACTTTCTTTTGGGTGGGGAAAACCTGGAAGCTTTCAGATTTGGGTTTTCCCAGATGTACCAATATGACATCTCTAATAAAATGGAACTTTGAGGAACTTCTAGTCTCGGAGTCTTCTTTTGTTGGGGGTGTTACTTGGAACCCTGACCGGGGGGAGGGGGACACATCTAGCTTAGCATTTTGTTTCCACAGTATCTAACCAGCTTTATTATCCAGGACGTGCATTTTCAGAAGCATCCTGCCTCTGATATTGGACATAATCTATAGACAAATGATTAGGAGCTATTAGTAGCTTTATTCTTTCTGAAGTCATGGCTCTGGTTTTATTTCTTTGATGTATTACTTACTTTATATACTTTTGATACTGTTGGCTCTTGAAGTCTTTTGATGCTCTTCAATAAGGACACCCAAAGTTTAAAAATGAAAACCAGAATTTAAATAATCAAAAAGCCTGTTAAGAAGTATCTTATTTTAAAGGGCTTTAAAAAAGATCTGTCCTCTCAGCTCATTAGGGAACACCTTCCAGATAATGATCAAAAAAGCTTGACACCAAGTCACCTCAAGATGAGCCTTCAGCATCTCTAGATTTCCGAGAATTAAGAGACCATCTCTCAATGAATGAGGTAGCTTGTTAGGCCATGTGAGCTTTTAAAGGTAATATCTAACATCTTGTACCGAAACTAGAAGTAAATTGGCAGCCTTTTATTGCTTTTAACACAAGCACAATACACTTTTTCCAAGGGTCAGTGTGATGCTAAATGCATGTGCTACAGTATGTGAAATTTCTGGAGAAGACAAAAAGGCATCCTTAAGTAGAGGTCTAATAATTACATCCTTTAAACAATGAGGCATGGCACTCTCTTTCAGAAGAACATTTATGTATGAACAAAAGGATCTCCAGTAATTTCCTAGCTAGAAACTACAAGTGAAATTGGGCAAGATCAAGAGAATAAATTATCTTGTACTGTATTGGTTAATTTCAAAACCAGCACTTAATGTTCAGTAATTTGCATACATTGTAAAGAAAAGTATCTTAAATATACCATTAAACATGAATTAATGCAACATTTTCAAAATGTTACTGTTAACTCAGTTTATTTCTAACCTGAGAGAAACCATGGCTTATCCATTGGTTATCCATTGGTTTTGCTCTCTACGATATAATCCCTAACATCAAGTCAAGCTCCTGGCATCTCTATTCTCTCTGAATAGGGCAAAATCATGGGATTTAATTTAGGTTTTACTGGACAAGCATACACAACCAATGGGCTACATTCAGTTTAATGTGTTACATTTGTGGAGTCCTGCATCAGGAGAGGCAGAGAGGTGCCCTTTGCAAGAACCCTTGGAATTAGGATGCGTGTGAGAGTAGGATAGTCTCACTCAGTGATGAAATGATAGCAATCCCATATCTTTGAGCCTTGGAGTGTCTCCCCCCAACCAAGCACTTCCTTTCATTCCTGTCACCATAATATAGCTAGAGATGTGAGCTCTGTTCTGACATAACAACAAGTTTTATGCTTTTGTATGCTATGGTTGTGACATTGTATGCATGTATCAAAGGAGCAGATCTTGCATTGTATGGTACAACCCTCCTTTTGTCTTTTTGATGAAAGTACTGAATCCCGTGGATGCCTCTATAGTACTCAATAGAGAAATAGATAGTTTGCACACAAACTGTTCTAGAAAGCCCTGGGGGATTTCCCATATGCAGTACACAATTCTTATCTTCTTTACAGTGTCTATTCTGCTAACATAGCAGATATGTATAAATATAAAAGTCAGTATAACTGTCCGTCCATCCATCCATCCATCCATCCATCCATCCATCCATCCATCCATTTATCTACCTACCTACCTACCTACCTACCTACCTACCTACATACATACATACATACATACATACATACATACATACCTTTCTATCTCTACCATATCTCTATCCTATTTATATGGCTAGCTATCTTGCTACTGCAATTCTAGGTCACTAATAATGAATTAAAAATGAAAAATAGCAAATCAATGTTTAAAAAGAAACCTCAAGAGACAAAATCATACCTGTAATGGCAGGATGAGAAATGTTCTTGGTTTGTTTTATCATGCTGGAGGCTAAAAAAAAAAATTATAAATCAGATATAAGAAATAACAATTGCTTTCTTTGAAATCTACCTACCTATCAATCAGTTTAAGCTGTAAACCAGATATCTATTTATTATAACAGTCTTTTCCAACTATGCGCTCTCCAAAAGTGTAATACTGTAATTTCTCTTTGACCCAAAGCCATTTGATTGGAAGAGCTATTTATTAATTTATTAAATACATATATATAGCAAAGAAAGATTTTATAACACAATAAGTGTAACAGCCAAGGGACCAGTGGTGGGTTGCCTCCGGTTCGGACCAGTTCTATAGAACCGGTAGTAAAACCAGCTGGAGGCTCCGCCCACTGATCCTAACGTCATCAGAAGCAATCTGTGCATGCGTAGAAACTTCTTTACTACCATTGCGAACCGGTAGTAAAGGTAAGTAGAACCCACCCCTGCAAGGGACCAATAAACATTTCTTTACCAATTACTATCTTCAGCAGTTTGTATAGGTAAAACAATTCTGCTTTCATAAAATAAGAGAAATGGTAACATTTGTATGACCAGTTTGTACACCGCATTGGCTGATTGTACAGGGTTTAAAAAAAAGTTACAAGTAGTGGAAAATTTTAAAAATATACAATATTTTTGTCAAAATATTTCTGATTTGACCTTATGGTATCACAACTTTTATGGTACAGATCGAATATAGTAAACCTCATTACTTACTACAGAGTTTTAGACAATTACAGAATTATTAAACAAAGAGGGATTTTAGACAATTGTACTTTTAATCAACTATTAATGAGAACTTTAAAAGTCTCCTATTAATGCTAAGAGAACATAGCACATAGTTGTTATTAATACAAATGAAAGAATAATTAAAAATTAGCGACTTTGACACCTGAAATTTTGTTTCTCAGGTTGAGCATTATACAAGTGTCCTAAGAATTAAGAAAATCTGTAGCAGACACTGCTAAGCCAAGTTATTTAGAATCAGTTAGTTACCTGTTTTAGCTGGACTTTCTCCTTTTTTAACGTCAGTTTCTAAAGAAAAAGGGGAAAAAAACCTCAATAGTTTCTTTTTAAAGTCAAAATTGTCAGCTCATCTAAATTTTGAATGTATTCCTTATCTTTGCTATACTGTACTGTAGAACAGTCTCAAGGGAAAAATAAACACTTTTACATTATTTCTAATAGCTTGAAGATTATTTAAAACTATAAAACAGACTGAAAATTGAACTAATAACCCATTGAAAAAAGATTAAAAGAATGAACTCACATGTCCATATTTCCTCCCCATTCCTGCTCATTTCTTTCTTTTTTTAAACATCACCATCTGGTAAGATCATATTAAGTTTCAATAGAATAAATAATATACAGACTCGCTAGCCTTGCTTGATGTAATGGTATGTGGGAATGACCTTGGGGGAACTATGAAGTGCTGCCTAGGGAAAGATCAGGTAAAAATTGATAGAGCTCTCAGATGCATAATGGTCAGAAAAATAAACTCAGAAAGGATTCTCCCCAACTTATCAGACTGTAAAAAGAGACCATGAGAGATTTGTACTTTCAGACTTGCATGATTTATTAATGTAACCTTACAAGTAGAATTAGCTCATTTCTTGTCCAGTCTAGTCTACATGTTCAAGATGACACTCAGACATGTATATAAACCAATGCACAACCCATTTCTTCCTTAGCTGTCTTAGTAAAGAAGCAAAGAGAACATCTCCATGCAACAGCTTAGCTTTCTAGTGTAGGGAGACTAGGCTCTACTTATGACCATTATTACACTAGCTAAAATCCTCCACTGTCAAAGATCCAGCTCACATGGACCACAGACCCATAACACAGAGCAGGTATGTATATGATTGCACTATCAGTCTGCTTCACAGCTGAACTGCAGGGATACTATAGTCTTTGGGTGGGGGCATTTGTTCGATATCTCAGCTTCTCTTGATCTTTATTCCTTATTTCATTGCCTCTTTCATCCCATGTCCCATTATTTGGTTTTGCTTCAGGTCAAGTGGGTATCTAAATAAGGAAGCATAATTGGAAAAGATTGCCTGGTGTGCTTGGCAGCTGCAGCATGCAAGTCAGCATGAATGAGAATATCAAACAGTGCTATTTAACATATGGAAATTTAGGAAGCATGATACGTTTTATCCACCATGCTATCAATTGCAAAGATGCCATTAGGATTCATAGCTGTGCAAGAAAGAACATTTAAAAGGCTGAAACAGCAATACAATATTTTGTGAATGGCCTCAACCTCATGGACATTTCTCTTATTAAAAACAGATAAAATTTGGATTGAAAAAAAATGAGTTTTTTTAAATGCACACTTGCCTCACTTTTTGCAGACAATAGAGGTAAAAAAAGAAATAGTTGCTAGAAGACATAAGGAAATTGGTCCCACAGCTCTTATGAAAAGACCACAGATGGGAGAAACAAATAAACAAAAAGGAATGTTGCCATACAATTGAGTAGACTATCTGTGCCTTTTCACCTCCAACCAGAAATACTTATTGTGTTTCTGAAGAGATATCAGTCAAGCATGTGCTCCTAAGTACATTATTGGGAAATGGCAATAGTTGAACTGAAACATTTCAGAACACCCACTTATTTCTATCATGGACCAATACTCAGTAGTGGTATCTGGAAAGGGATAGAGAAGGATAATGAAAAAAATAATCCATAGCAGGCTCAGATGGCCACCACTCAAGTAGGTAACACTACCCCATAGATGTTCTTGGTGAGGCAGTGAAAGAAAGAAAAAATAAAGAAAAATATTTGTAATTCAGAGTTGAAATGAGGGGTCTCTGAGCTTGCTTCAAGCTCTGAGCTTGACTCTGAGTTCAACCAAGCTCAGAGAGCACCAAGGACCCCTCAAAGAAGAAAATGTTTGCCAAGTTCTATCTGTGAAACCCAGCACTATCTCCTGTATTTTTCTGGACAGTACCCCAATCCTCCAGAAAACATTTTTTAAAAAGCAAGCATAGGACTGTTGAGTAGCTAGAAAAATCTATTCATCAGAACAGAACTGAGTGAACTTCTCTTCCATGGAAACTTGGCTCTCTTATATTCTTGTCTATCTCCAGATTTAGGACTGGAGAATTTGGGAAGCTTAGTTATGTATTGACTATAACTTATTTTGAACTTTAGACACTTGAAATGTTTATGCTAATTTTCTAGAGATAGTTCTCTTGCAAGATGATAATGAGATGAGGTGAGATGAGATGAGATGGGGAGGGGGAGGAGAGGAGAAGAGAAGAGAAGAGAGGAGAGGAGAGGAGAGGAGAGGAGAGGAGAGGAGAGGAGAGGAGAGGAGAGGAGAAAAGAGAACACTTATTGTCATTTTTTATTGTGGGGACACTGCCATACATTAAAAATGAAATATAATAATTTTAGCCTACTTTCCATTGACAAAGAATCCTCCCAATAACTAACAAATATTACTTGCTGAAAGCAATAAAACCAGGATTGGCAAGACAGGGCTTTCTTATCTTCTTTTTCTGAGGCAAAAAATAAAAGCAGAAGTAGGGTGTCAGGCAAAATCATTGGCAAGAGAGTGTTACTGCTAGTTAATCTTTATGCAACAATGGGCTTCCATGTCTTTGGCCTAGATAGTTTCCACATCCAGGCCCAGCAACAGAGATAGGAAAAAAAAACCCATCTTCCTCCTCTCCTGTCATATTGTACTAACTATAAACAAAAACTAGACAACCTGTGATCCATTGGGCCATAATTTCAGAGATATTTCCTTACCTAAAACCAAAAAACGGAATTACCATGGGTGGGCCAAAAAAGCAATGTGAATCGGACTTCCTGCTGGCTTCCCCACTGATTTTGCTAGTTAATAATTTTTATTAAACTAAAATACACCTTTTTATTCTTTTTATTTATTCTGTGATCTCCACAGGTAATTAAGTGGTCAACTTGCAGAGAAAATTTAACATTTTAAAGGGATGCATGCTGTGATGTCCTATGCATCATACTGATGATCCTGAATGCAAAAGAGATATGCCACTCAAATCATGAAAAACATTGATTCTCAATAGGAATGCCAAAATGAAATTTTGTTATTGTTCAATAGAGTAATTATAAACGAAAATGTGATTTACTAGACTGAGGTTGTTGGAGGATTTTGTTGTGACTTTTCTCAAACCTTCTGTCATAGAAGCTATGTGTCATGCCACTTACCATTATGAGAAAAAAAAAAGAATGGGAAGACTAGCAAACCCTCAAACTGTATGGACACTTGCAACCAATTTAGACATAGCAGTTACACTTTTTTTGACAAAACATCAATGTCCTGACATGCACACTAAGAATCAAGGGCCTCTTTGCTCTAAAGAGTGATCAATTTGTATTATGTAATGTGCAGCATATAAAATAATAGACAGTTTAATTGAATCACTGATCCAACCTTACCTGCAGCACTAAACAATAGCAAAAAATTGGACACATATTACATGATTGATTTGCTTAACATTTGTGGCTCAGCCATCTCTCCCTTTCCCCCAAATAACAGACACTACATAAATTGAACATATAATCATAGGCATGAGAGCTTGTTTCTCTGATATTTGGAACAATAGATACAAATGACCTTATATACAGATACAGATACAGGTTAATTTCACTCATCCATATTTCATTCATTAATTTCACTAATTCCCTTTCTCAGCTGACTAGAGGAATTTTCATTGGCCATGGTGCCCCCAAACTTATACAAACACTGCATAGAAGAAACTAGCTATTTTCCACCCAGATCCAATTTTCAGTAGAGCTTCAGAGAGTGCAAAACATGAGTTTACTTTGACATGATCTTTAGCCCAGCCTCTGATACACTCTCCTGAGATTGGATTAGGTAAATTTAGGTGGTACCATAATCATAAACTGTGAACAAAATCTTGTTTGCATTTCTTCACCAGTTATTTAAAAAATTTCCGAGGGGGAAAGTCTCCTTTCATTTGAAGAGAAGGAAAGCAAATGCAAGAATTTGATACTTTGATTAATATAATAATATACTTACCTTTCTTTTTCTCGGCAATGGGAAGCTTTGCATCATTTGATTTTGCTGCCTCTGAAAAATACAATTTTCTTAGCTTGCAAAGTGAAATTTTAAGCATGACTTTCCTTGCCTTAAGTACAAATGCATCAGTCCCCATTTTAAAAGCTATAATCACAATATTTTTGCAATTGTAACACAAGGGTTAGCAATGTGTGCTGAATCTGGAATTAAGGAAACCAGAAAGTTAAGATGAATAAAGCAGTATCATATTATGAATGTCTATCCCTTTTTCATTGTAGACCTACTGGAAGATTATTATTGTCAAAGTTCATAGCTTTGCAGATATTTAGCATTAAAAAGGCTGGATATTCTCTTTATCATAAAATCACAGTTCATTACAACTGTTAGAAGTATAATTTAGCCCATTTAAAAAGATTCTATGATTTTACTGCTATGCTTTTGAATTGTGAAAATGAAATCCAGTATCTATATACTACTAAGTCTTCTTTATATAACTGTTAACTGGCAAAACAGTACATCATAGGACAACAGGTTTTGAACAGATACCTGAAATGAGCAAACATACAAAATGTGTCCCAAATCCAGGACCCGTCATTCCCCAGGGAATAAAATTTGGAAAAGTTATGACTACTTCCGCTGCCAGGCTGGTGCTACACTTAAAATCGCTTACTTCCTGAAGGGAAGGAAGGAAGATTTTTAATGCTCCCTGCCAGCTTCCCACAAGAAAACTCAATGGGGAAGCTGGCAGGAAGTTGAAAGTTGCTCCTGCTCCCACTGCTTTTTTGCCTACCAGTGGTCATTCTGTTCCTCTATTTAGGTAAATATATATATATATATCTGAAACAATGACCTATTGGGGCAAAGGGTTGTCTAATATATAGTAGTGGCCAAAATTGTGGAAACCTTTTGGGGAAAAGTGTATTTTCTAAAACTAGCTAATAACACCACTTTTTTGGGGGGAGTAGTACCATAAAATTATATATCAATGGAAAGATAATTTAATCAAGAATGTAATGCACTAACTTTTATGAAGGATTTGCTATTAGAATAGCAGTTACAGTATAAAGAAGAAAAGTGAAACAGGTAGAAAAAATGAGATATAGAAAAATTATCACCATAGAAAAAAATGAGATATACAAAAATTATCACGTCAGTTAATACTTAGTTGGGTAGCCTTTAGCATGAATTATGGCCTTACAACATCTTCCCATGGAGTGAACCAAGACTTTTAGTTCTGCAGCTGTTATAATGTGAAACCAAGATTGAACTAAAATGGGGAACTAGATGTGGAAGAGCCATTAGTTGAAAGTGAACTAAAGTTAAGACCAAAAAAGAGGACAATGATAAATTAAGGACCTTCATTTCTTCACTGGCAATATTGAACCCAATCCTATAATATTATATGTAATGTTTCTCATATAACTATCTTAAATCAGTTTAGCAACAACAATAAAAACATTTCTGAAATCTTAAAATGGCCCTAGTTAAATAAAAGAATCAGATCTTAGAAATGATATTTACCTTTTCTTTTGACAGCAATAGGAGGCTTTACTTTTTCTTTTGAGATATCTATGAAAATATTCATTCATTCATTCCTTTTGTTTTGCATTTTTTTCTTTTACAACCACTCCCCCCCCCGATTTCTGGGTGCTTTTAAATCTCCATTTAATGTAACAAGATTATATATAGGTAAACAAATCATTATTATTTCCTTCCACAAGTTTTTCCACTCTCTTTGCTAACTCTATGGGCTTGAAAAGAATTTCTGCACTATTTTTGCAGTCTGAAAATAAACTTAAAACTTTATAAATATATTTCTTTACCCCTTTTCTTCTGGGTTTCTGGGGTCTTCATTAATTTTTCTTTCTCAAGTTCTGTGTAAAAGGACAGTGAGGAAACATTAGTCACATCTAGCAATTAATAATTCCAAACTGAAGCTGCATCAAATGATATTTTAGCTGAATTTTGAGTTGGATATATAGCAAATTCTTTTCAGTATTAGCAGTATTAAGTATCAATAGTTAAAATCATGAGTGGAATCTAACTTTTTTCAAGTAGGGTGTCAGCAACACAGGGATTGGCCATAGCTTGTGTTCACAGAAAAAGAACTGCATTTATGCGACTCTTTCCATGACCACAGCATTTTTCCTTTGGCTGAAATGTATTCTGTTCATAAAGAACATTAGATGCATCTATGTGTAAGTATCAAAGTGATCCCAACCTTATGGCTTGATTCTCTACAGATTTTTGCTATTATAGAAACAACAGGTGACCAATCACACTGAATGTCAATAATGGATGGTGTTGCACTTTGACCTTTCAGATTCCAGGATTAGCAATGCTTTGACAGAAGTAGAGGGGGCAGAAATAGATGGACAGAAATAAATGGGGAATGATATCTTGAAAGCACCCTCCCCTCCCCTCCCCCCCGGTCATTTCAGATCTTGTATCTCACTCAACTGGAATGAAAGAAGACTGTAGCTTGCAGCAATCCTAATTGCATTCAATTATAATTTGCCTGACTCGATGTGGCATTTTAATTGCAAGACTTTTAAAAGCCATGGAAAAGTATAACACCAAGCAATGAGTTGTGGAACCTATTTGCTAAGACAAGTCTCCATGGTTACTAGATACTTAAATAATTTCCTACTTGCCTGACAATGTCTAGATATATGAATATACGAGGATGGGTTATACTTTGTCAGATCATAAATTCTTTTATTTAACTAGTCAGCTTTCATACTAACTTTCAACTGCTGTATTTAAGATTTCATTTATTTAGCAGCCATTATAATCTACTCCTACTCTAAAAGAATTTTGAGTGGCTAATAGCAAAATACGAATGAGATTAAAATATAAGAAACAATCTCAAACCACAAAACAACAATATAGATGTATTGCTGTTGCCAAAAAAAAATTTGTTGTAATACCAAGGAGGATTTGTGCTCTCTTTCTTTCTTGTATAAAATAGCTTCTCTATTTGTAATCCCTGTGCATGGCAGAGCAAAGTAAGAACTTAGATTTCGAAAAGTAAGTAAGTCTCTTCCTTTCACTTTCTCCATCAGTTTGCTCCTCATAATCCTCAGGCAAGAGTGTTACATTTTTATTTCAAAACTACTTTGCCAAGGCCAGCCACCTAGTAGTGAGAAGGTGATGAGTGAGCTGCCATTGATAACTTTTAGGCAAGAAAAGATGAACAGCTAATGTGATTTATTAGAAGTATGAGTAACTGCAAGAGGTATAAGGTAGCTAGATATAAGCTACCTTGAGAGGAGCTTTATTATAGGCCTGTTCAGGAAAGCTGCTATAACTAGCTGAGACCAGGATCACCTTTGTGAAGTATAAGGGACTCTCAGATGCCACGGGGATATTAAATTCTATTTACACTCCTCTACAGGTAGTCCTTGACTTATGACCCTAACTGAGCCCATAATTATGGTTGTAAGTCCTTGAGACTGTAAGTTGAGGCATCACATGACCACATTTTTTGCAGCAGTTGATAAGTGAACACCACATTCGTTAAAAAAATCCATTTTCCCCAACAGGCACTTTTTGCCAGAAACTAGAAATAAATGCCAGAAACCAGGAAAAAACATTACAAATCATGGTTGGTTGACCACGGGACACTGTAAATGGTTATAGGGCGAAGTGGATTGCCAAGTGCCCAAAATTAAACCATATGACTCTGTGTGTGTGTGTGTGTGTGCAGCAACCATCGTAATTTCAAATCAGGTTATAAATAGTCTGGAGAGGTCCGGCATAACTTTGAACAGTCATTAAGCAACCAGTTATCATTCAAGAACTACCTCTACTGAATGTTGCAGAATCTTCTTTCATTGTCTCGCCTATAAATGTGTCCCGTCTATGCCATAGTTTGCAGTTAAAATTATTCTTTTGCTTTGCTTTCTTCAGTGAATCTGTTTAGCTTCTCTTTCATTTGTGCGCACATTGCATACAAATTCCAAAATCTCTTGCTCGCATTTTACTACAGTCCTCAATTTACGTCTACAATTGAGCTCAAAATTTCTGTGGCTAAGCGAGACATTAGTTGAGTTTTTTTCTCACTTTACAATTTTTCTTGCCACATTTGTTAAGTGAATCGCTGCAGTAAGTGTATTATGTCTGTAGTCTCTTTTTTATGTCAACATCCATCTTCTCAAAGCCATACTGTGTATTGGGGGCATAAAATCATCATCCTGGCAATAGTATGTAGAGTTCCAATAGCCAAATCCTATTCATATTTACCCTGTTGTATTCTTAGATGCTGACTTCCAGTTAAGGCTGAAATTCTGACAACACTGATTGCTAAGTAAGCTTTATGGTACTTAATGGATCTTACACATTTACAATGCATAGGAAAGCAAGATAAGTACAATGCAAAGGAAAGCCTTTGACAATACCCAGCCAGATGTCACAGGATTGTTCCCTAAGGACTTTGTATTTAAATGAGAAAGAAAAGGAGAAGATTGGGTATTTAATAGATATGTGTAAATGATTTTATCCTTTGTTTTTATGAACCCCTGAAGGCGTTTCAGTCTCATTTCACATATGCTTTTTCCCCCTGCTGGCTGCATTCATGTAATATTCAATATTAGCCTTGCAGTTAAATATTTCAAGACCAGACACATATTTATTCCAGCTTAATTGTTTGTATATAATCAAAAGCAGCAAGAATTTGGCAGTTTTATCATACTTATATTTTAATTTCAAGTTTCAAGCAGCCTTCAGCTGCTTATTTATAGTCTTCACTTTTTAAAGAATTTAAAAGAAACATAATTTGTTTCTTTTTCCTTCATGTGTTCTACAAAATACATACCAGAGTTGTGTTAATTTTCATGCACATACAAATTATAGATGGTTGAAAATTTATATTATATTATAACCTGGCAGCTTTATTTTGCAAATATTACAATTATATTAAGTTGAGGAATCATCTTGAGAAGATATATCCCTTAAAGGAAGCATACAAATATTTTAAATTCTGGTTTTACATCATAATAGTCTAAGAGTTAATTGCCTGAGATGAATATTGCAGGATGGAAAGAAGAAGGGTAATACAACATAGGTGCTTACAATATAGAAAATTATTGTTACATTATTTGCAGCTCATCCATGTGTGAATTTATAAGGCTACATGGAAAACTCCTTTATAAAACTTACATTTTCCAAAAGCTCTAATGTTATCTGGGTTTTGGATATATTTGCTTTGTGATCCGGTATTATAATTAATATTACTACATGCTGAAAGCTATAAAATAATTGTAATTAATAATGCTCTTTTGCAGTATTATTTATGCATTTCCAAATTTTAAGTGTATATGTGATCATATTTTTATAATTGAAATGGAAAAATTACTTTTTAATCCAGAAAACTAAAAGTACATCACCACTAATATAAAATAGATGCCTACAAATAATAAATATATTGACACATTAATAAAACTGTGGCCAGGACTAATATTTTCTGCCATACAAAGAAATGTGCAGTCACTGCTATGCTGTGGAAATGATATCTGAGCTCAAAATAATAGAACAGTAAAATACAATAATATTGACATTGTGCAATCTAAAGTATGATTAATTGTGCCCACATCCATCATTTCTTGTTTCTTTAACTGTCTACTTGGGAAGCATAGTGGACTATTTTTTTAAATAAAGAAAAGAAAAATGAATTACTTTTACTCTTAATGAAGACTTGAAATGATCTTATAATACTTTAAAATAATGAAAACAAAGAAAAATATTATTCATGGATAAACTGTCAGATAATTTATCATATCCACAAAATATATACATACTGTGACACACTTTACTAGATTCTTTGGAGTCTGATTTATCTGCAGAAGAAGAAATGAGAAAAATAATAAATCCCTTATTTCCTCATATAGTAGCTAAGACTATATGATTAATAGGAAACTGTATGAAGAAATACATTTATTGAAATCAAGAGGTAAAATTAATCAGATTAAATTGTTAACATTATCCAAGGACACATCTCTTGAAATGGAAAGCAGCCAAAATCTGTTCTCCTATTATTTTGTTTCTGTTATTAGTGTTTTCCTGAGATTTTAATTAAAGAAGAGCCAATTACAAGATGTATTTGAAACTATGAGTTCAGGCTTGAGGATGTTACTCATGTTTCCCAAGAATGCTTGTAGACAAATGTAGAAGGAAGAAGACCAAGGAAAGATGAAATTGTAATTAAAATACCTTTTGCAATTATTTACATTTTAAAAGATCAGAATGAATTTCTGTATGCATATTCTTTGCTTTTCCCCAATGTACATATTCCAGTCAATATTTTTCTCTAATATTCACAACTTACAAGTACTTTACTCATGTACCTACATCTCTTTACAATATTCTAAATTAGCAAATGATTGCAAAATTAATACAGAAGAATATTTGTATATGTACCGTATATGTAGCCACTAGAATATAAACTAAGAGCAAACCCCATTCCTTACTAGCCCTGATGATGGAACCTAGTTTGGGTAATGAAAACAACCAAGCTCAGAGAGTACCTAGGATCCCTCATGGTGACAAAATTTGCAGAAATGGGAGAAAGGAAGGGCAATTGCAGTAAATTTACCTACTGGCCTAAAGGTGTAAATTAGAAATGTTTACAGATGGATTTCTTCTCTGTCTTTATGAGGAGGAGATCCATGTGTGAGCAATGCCCAGGTCCATGCCTTTTTATTGTCTCTACCATGGACAGTCTAAAAAGGAATTCCAAGCTAATGAAAAAAATTAAAATCCCCTGTTGCAATCAGAAACATGAACTTTATGGCCATTCATTCTTTAATGGCATGAACAAGACTTCAGATGCCACCTCTGGAACTTTTGGGATTAATACTGGAGCTGATATCTTCTACCTACTGTATTACAAGTGGCAGCATCTCATTAAGACCTATCTCAGAAAAGTAAGTAGTTGTTGGACCAGATCAATACTTCCATAGAAGATAAGCAGGCATTTCAAATTCTCAAATAGACTAGGAAGTTGAACAAATATCCCCGATACAAAGGGCAATGACATACCAATTCAGTATCTCTGCCTAGAAAAATACTTGTATGTTTCTCAGAAATCACTTTTGAATTGAGGGAGTATTTGCTTATAAGTATCTTGCGTCCAAAAACAATTTCAGCTGACAATTTGAGACACTGTATTCCTCGAGCCGTGTGATATAAATATCACATTGTACAGCCTGGAAAAGCAATAGCAGTTAGACTCACAGTATATACCACTTCACGGTGCTTTACATTCCTCTCTAAGGAGTTTGCAGATTCAGCATATTGCCCCCAACAATCTGGGTCCTCATTTGTGCTAGTCGTTCCCAACTCTAGGGTGCGGTGCTCATCTCCGTTTCAAAGCCAAAGAGACAGCGCTGTCCGAAGACATCTCCATGGTCACGTGGCTGGCATGACTAAATGCCAAAGGCCCCCAGAATGCTGTTATCTTCCCACCAAAGTCCCTATTTTTCTACTTGCATTTTTTACATGCTTTCGAACTGCTAGTTTGGCAGAAGCTGGGACAAGTAACAGGAGCTCACCCTGTTACGCGGCACTAGGGATTTGAACCGCTGAACTGCCGACCTTTTGATCAACAAGTTCAGTGTCTTAGCCACTGAGCCACAATGTCCCTAGCTATTCAACTACTATTCAAGTATCTCTTAAATCAGTGTTTCTCAAGCCTTGGCAGTTTTGAGATGTGTGTTTTCCCCAATCAAAATGCTGGAAGTTGAAGTCTGCACATCTGAAAGCTGCCAAGCTTGAGAAACACTGCTTTAAGTACTTAGGAGTAAAAGAAAACATTAATAATTTCTAAGTTTTCAGCTTAAACATCTAAAGGGTCATCTGACTTTGGACCCGGGCAAATATATGTTTGCCTACATATTTACGTATGAAGCTAATGGTGTAATTACTAAGGCCATTTTCACAAGAGATACTACAATATCACATTTTTCTTCTATATTTAAAATCTAAAAGCTTGTTGGTTGATAGCAAAATAACTTTAACAATTTGATCCCCTCTGAGTTTGTCATTATCATTCCATAAATATTTGAAGTAACACTTTTTTAAAGATAAGAAAATACTTAATGCAAATTACAATCGTGTCATGAGTAAGTTCATCAAAGATGTTGAAACTATTTTTTTTTTAAATTATCTCATATATTTAGGTTTCTGTGTCATTTAGTTTGTGTTATTTGGAATAAATATTAGCTTTATATAGAATTAATTTTAATATTAACTTTATATATTTATATCAAATCCAATCAAATTTATTATAGCCCCAAGGCCAGATACAAACAAAATATCTCATAATAGAAGCATTACATCTTTCTATATATCTATATATATCAGTATAATGGAGAGTTATTTTCTAGTCCCTGTCCAAAAGAAATTAAAGAGAAATCACATGCCCTACCTTGAAATTTCTTCAAGATATGATAAAGCTAGAGTCCTTATACAGGGAACAATATAGTATCATATGGGTTAGAGTTTTTATTGCTTCATCTCCACATGAACATAACTGAAGGTACATAGGAGTACTTTTAAAACATTCAAAAAGGACTGCTGAGGTCTAACCTTATGAAATTTCAAAACTGGATGATTAAATAGGAGGCTGAAACAAATCCTTTTGGAAACAAATGATAAATATTGGAGTGTGACATCTTACTTAAGTTTGTTTGGAGATCTATATCCCAACATTCATTGCTTAAGGGCATTTGTAGCATTATCAAAAACTAAGGAGCACAGATTTTCCATAGAAAAGTCCAGCAATTGAATTTTACCTAGGACTTTCTAAAGATATGATTATTTAAATTGGTAACTAAATACTAATGGCAACAAAACTATAGGATGCAAAATTAACTGTGCCCAGAAGGAAAAAGAAGAAACCGTGCTCCAGCATCCAAAGAAACAATGCCTGATGTTGAAATTTATTTAAATTATTTAAATCTTCACTTTATCTAGTGCTTTCCTTTATATCAATTCTATACCTTTTTCTATATTAAACCTGTATGCTGATTCGGCCATTTAAATGGAAACATCCTGAAGTCCACTACCTTTGCCCCACAGTACAGATTGTCCTCAACTTATGACCACAATTGGAACCAGCATTTCCATTGTTAAGCAAAGTGATTATTAAGTAAGTCAGTCCCAACTTTATGATCTTTTTTGCCATGGTTGTCAAGCAAACCATGTGGTTATTAAGCAAATCTGGCATTCCCCCATTGACTTGGCTTGTTGGAAGGCATCTGGAAAAACTGTTAAGTTCGAATAGCCATTAAATGAATGGTTGAAAATCAAGGACTACCTGTAAGCAATGCAACTTCTTGAAAAATCCATGTAGACGGTCAGATATTTTTAAAACATAAAAGAATAATGCCTATGCCATAGAGTGTTCATCTCTCCTTAAAGCCTTTATGCCACAAATCAAGTTGGTTAAAAGAATTTAGGTCACAAAAGATGACATGTCTAGATAAACGGTTACATTTTGTCTCTGCACTTGGGTACATACAAACTGAGTTCTGTCAGAATGATGCTTCCCAGGCAGATTGAAAAGACTACTCACTGAGATAGTTAAAAGAGACAAATTCAAGGTTGTCCATTTCTTGAAATATGAAATGTGCTTTTTAAAAAACAGCTCTGACACTTGCTTTAGATAATATCAGCTTCACTGAGTTTCTTTTTTTACCTTGTTCTGCTGCCTTGCTAGGTCTTTCTTCTTTCTTTCCTTGTGAAGCTGCAAAACAAAGATAAGGGGCATTGTAACACAGCTAGTCTCAAAGAGAATGGCTTGTGCAAACAAAGGCTTGTTGAAAAAGCCTTAAATCTCTATTGCTTATTGAAGTGACATTTTTGCATATTGATTACATCATAACAGGTAATTTAAATTAAAATTTAAAATTTTAATTTTAAAATTAAGCAATAATATTACATTTATGTCTTCTAAGAAATCTATATCTAAATTACAATCTTGCAGAATTGCAGAGAGAGAGAAAGAACATGATACAGGTAGTCCTCAATTAATTACCAGAATTGAGCCCAGAATTATGATAATAAATCATGCTGATGGTTAAGTGGGTCATCAGGTGGCCATGATCAATTTTACAATCTTTTTTTTTTTTGTGTGTGTGGCAGTCCTTAAGCAAATTCATTGTCTGCAGTGACTGGTTTTTTGGGTTTTTTTTGCTGGAAACCTGAAGTAAATACCACTTTCCAGCCAAAAAAAAAATGTCTTCCAGATGCTGCAAATAGCCATAAATATGGGTTGGTTGCAGAGCACTTAAAATGTGATCACATGACTGGGGGGGGGAAGCTGCCAGAGCTTAGAATCTGTGTTGCAAGTAGCCCTATAATTAAAATAATATAAAATCCTACAGTATGTTGATGAACCTGAATGCATTTACCTGGCTGTCTTCCCTAGTTAGTTAGTGGGAGTTAGTGGGAGAAGAGCATTGTACAACAAGACATAAAGTGCATAGATTGAGAGGTTATCTTCCTTGAAATGTCTGTGAGAAATAAACTAGAAGCATCTGTTGCTATTGTTAATTGCATTTGTCTTGTTACCTGAATCCTAAACTACCCACTGTTTTACCTATTGATTATTAATCACTGTGCATCTTATTTGTAAGCTGAAGTTCATCTTAAAGATAGCCAAATAATTCTTTAAATTCCCCTTGCAGCATGGCAAAGGAGAAGAATGTGCAGCTTCTGAGGAAAGCTTCGGCAGATTTTAGGTAAATTAAGGCACTTGACTACTTCAAAACTCATCAAATTTGGTATTCAACACATTTTGAAGCAGAAATCTTGTCCCAGGACTCATCTTTCTGCCAGTAGTTGATGGCTGTCTTGTGACTCGCTATTTCTTCTGGCCAAACTAGCGGGTCACGGGGTAAGTCCAGTGGTGGGATTCAGCCAGTTCACACCACTTCAGGAGAACCGGTTGTTAACTTTCTGAGCAGTTTGGTGAACTGGGTTGTTGGAAGAAATCTTTAGGGCAGAGAACCGGTTGTTAAATTATTTGAATCCCACCACTGGGTAAGTCACATGGTTTTCTTAGTACTCATCAGTTTTAGTATTTGTCATGTCTTCTGGAACAAATTATTGACAGATACCAAGGTACTACTGTGTAAGCTAATGAAGCACAGCCTGGAAGGCATCACAGGCTGGAAGCCAGTCACTCTCAGCTCAAATCCCCTCACAGGGTGGTTGTTGTTGGGAAAATAAGAGAGGAAGGCATATTATATATGTTTGCTGCCTTGATTTATTTATAAAAATAATAAAGGCAGGATGTAAATAAATAAATACGCATGTTTTTAATTCCAAAGCCATAATAGATCTAAGCCATAGTCTTTCGTCAGAAAAGGAACCACAAATTATGTTAATGTATCATTTACATAAAAAATAAAACTTATTTTAAAATAGGCGTCACCTATGTGTGAGTTGGGCACCTATATAAATTTATTTGTAATGAGTAAATAAATAAATAATATTTAATAAATAAAAACAGAAAGCTTCTCATACATTGCGGTAGCATGGAATAGACCTGAGAAATCTGTAATACTGTAATACGATCTCTAAATAATTTAGAGAAGGAAGACAACTACAAAATGTTAGTTTTAAAACAAGGGATAGTTCAAGACTGAAAACACTTTTAACAAAAAAGCAGTAACGACTAACTGTTACGGTGCAAAAGAGAAGTGTATGATCTCACGAGCCACTACAAACCCAGCTCTCGGAATTATTGAACTGAATGAAGGGACTCTACAACCCTTCTCTGAAAATTGGCTAGGGATCAGACTGCACAGCATTCTGGATATAAGCATATACATTTTAAAAAGGAAATAACATTCCTGACCTTTTGGCTTGTGGGTTCCCCCAACAGCTGCAAATACAGTAAGAAAATATTCTGAACACTATATAGAACCTCAAAATTCTTAAAACACACATTTATTAGTATACATTACCACTAATATCCCAAGTGATAGCTACCCAATCTAAAAGCACTGTAAAAGCTTTAAAAGCCTAGGAAATAATAAAATCCTCATGAGAAATCTGATATGTAGCCATGAAGAACGAAGCAATATTTTCAACTCTTTTTAAAAAAGCAACTAGGGATGAATCTGGGAGGAGAGGAGAAAGATGCTTTTGAATCAGTGATCCCCATGGTGTAAAACAAAAACAAAAGCATATTTCTTGTTACTTCCCAACACTCTTTTCTTTCCTGAAGAAGGTTGAAAAAATGTTTTTAAGATTTTCCAGAAACAAGAGATTCTCCCAACAGAATACGATCTAATTATTTGAAGTCTGTTTAGTGGGGATCTGGAGCAAAGGTGGCTCAGTGGCTAAGACGCTGAGCTTGTTGATCAGAAAGGTCAATAGTTTGGCGGTTCGAATCCCTAGTATAGGTCTCCTGCATGAGCAGGGAGTTGGACTAGATGACCTCCAAGGTCCCTTCCAACTCTGTTACTGTTAAGTTACATAATGAGCATTCTAAAAAGAAGCATTGACAACATGTTTTGCTGAAATCCTTGGAGTTCCACTACTAGATAGAAGAGTTGCCTGGCTCCACATGGGGCAGTTGCATCCATCATCATGAGATGGTTTAAGATTGTACAGTTTTTGAAATATACATGGGCATTTTATTTTCTGGCCTTTGAATTTATTGAATCACTACAAAACAAAAATAAAAACAAAAAAAAGTATTTGTAGAAATGTTGTTGCTACATGACATTTTCACCGCAGCTTTCTGCCTTGCCTGAAAAGTGTTTAAAACTCTCAGTGGCAGCGCCAATGAATGGCTAAATGAGCAGAAATGGAAGTCTTCCAGAATTGGACCTGGCATCCTTCTTTATATTTTTCCAGCATATAGCAGTGGTCTAATGTATGCATTGCCTCAGGGGTGAAATCAGCAGGTTCTGACAGGTTCTGGAGAACCGGTAGCGGAAATTTTGAGTAGTTCAGAGAACTGGCAAATACTACCTCTGGCTGGCCCAGAGTGGGAATGGAAATTTTGCAATATCCTTCCCCTGGAGTGAAGAGGGAATGGAGATTTTACAATATCCTTCCCCTGGAGTGGGGTGGGAATAGAGATTTTGCAGTATTCTTCCTCTGCCACGCCCACAAGCCACGCCCACCAAGCCATTCCCACAGAACCGGTAGTAAAAAAAATTATATTTCACCACTGCATTGCCTTTTTCTCACCTAGATAGGTTAGGTGGCAGCATAAACTTTTCTTACATGCTAATTTTTTATTTTTGGGGTTAGGATTGAAGGGTAGATTCAGTGCTTCATAAATGCAGAGGTTTTCCTGTCATCTTGATTAATAATGGCTTCTTCCCCATTGATGAATATGCCAAAAACAAAAGCACCATTCATCCCCAAGGGGGAGGGGAGATTACAAGCAGTCCTTGACTTATGACTGTTTGTTCAGAGGCCATCTGAAATTATGATAGCACTGAACAAACAGATTTACAACCTGTATCTGAATTTACAGCTGCTTCAGCCCTTCTGTGGTCATGTGAGCAAAAATCTGGCTGCCTTTAATACCAACTATAGGATGCTATAGAGACCTCACCTGTCTATTTTTCCTCCATCCTGCCATGCTGCATCCTTTGGGCTTCCCAAACAGCTGAGTCTTCACAGGCCTTGGTCCTCCTCCACCCCACTGTCATGCCTCACTTCACTTATTTTTTTCTGAAGATCACCTTTGGGAAGAAACCCAATCAAACTGTCATGCAGCCTTCCTATACAGAGGCCATGTGGTGCTCTCCCACAAGGAGCAGCATTTGGCCACAATTTGGCTCACTCCAGGATGGTAGAAAACAGCCTCTACCACTCTCAGAAAGGTGCCCACTCATGAGGTGGCACCATACAACCTCTATATAGGAAAGCTATGAGGCAGATTGGGCAGTTCTTTTTCCCAAAGGTGATCTCCAAGATCCACTATGTGATAAAGTATTCAGTTACTTAGTCTTTGCTTAGTATATAGATCATCCACATATTTTTTTATGTATGATAATAAAGCACTACTTTAAAATATAGCAACACTTTGAAAAAATATTTGAAGAACACCTGATATTTATTTTAGTGATAAAGGAATTACATCCCCAGAGCAGTTTACACATTTCATATACGGGAACAGAATTATTAATAAAATAGTATGTTGTGTTATGCATTTCCATCATTTATATGAGATTGGGAAATGTTTGCCTCAATAGGACAATGCAATAATAGCTGTGCTTCTTGAATTGGGGATGTTATCAGGTCTATAGTAGTATTCATGAGCAAAGTTCTCCCACCCTCCAACTTACTGATATACAATCATGTCTTGTAGCATCAAAAAAAAGTTATCCTGTCAAGTGTGTATCTTTGTCTCCTCTATCTCTCTCTGTCTCTGTCTCTGTCTCTCTCTCTCTCTCTCTCTCACACACACACACACACACACTCACACACACTTGAGCAAAAGGTAAATATTTCATTTCAAAATGGCTTATTAAGATTGGAGAGAGTCAAAATATTCAGTACATCAAATATCATATTTGCATTTGCATAGTTTGCATGAAGAATAATTAATAAGTTTTATAACAGTTGATTTGCTAGAACTATTCTGACTGAAGATTGCCAGACATACATTAAAAAAATCTATAGTAAGTTTTTTACATGGATATACAACATATAGTTATATTGTTATAGTTATATTGTTAACTATATTATATATAGTTAAATGGCATGCTGATTTGCACAGGCTTGCCTTAATGTATACTGGGTGTTACAAGTAAAAAGTGCAATTTTCTGAGTTTATTTTTACAAAGGACTTGCCAATTTTATTTGTACATGCACATCCTTCTTTGGCACTTTGGCTAAAATAGTGAAAGTTTTTTGTTATTGTAGATTTTGAACCTGGATAATCAATATCTTTTATCATAATCATATGTTTCAGGGAAGGGTAAGAAAATAAAAGCATTTTCACCTGTTTCCATTGTCTTTTCTTTCTTGTGCAGTTCTAGAAGAGGAAAACCAGAGTGTTATTTCTCCATTCAAGTGCTTATAGTTCCCCCTTGTTCCCTTGTGGTTACCTACTACTGCTGTCAGATGCAGTAGCAAAGGCAGAGGTAATAGAAGTGGCTATGAAAGAAAGATAAGGATTTGCCCTTGGCTGGAAAGTTTCATGTGACTCAGAGAGCCAGGCTGGTAGAGAAGGAGAATTATAAAGTGGAAGAGGGAAGAGAGGTTAAGATGGCATGATGAGAGGTGCCATCGGCTGTGCAGTATCTATTAAGTTTTGCAGGGCTTATTGGTGGGAACAGCACCAATTGGGAAGGACCAGTTGTGATCTTCCACAAATTCCAGATCCCCTTAAACTGAACCCACTCTCACCCCTCAAAAGGAAAGGCAAACTATAAATTAGAGGGATTTCATTTCCTTGATAGTCACAATTCATGATGGATGGGATGATTCAGTCCATTGGTGGAATAATGAAACCCAGTGGCTTGCCAACATTAGAGAATCCATCTCTAGGCAACCCAAAATGTTTATGGAGCAGGTCTACTTCTGTTTTCTGATGATAAAGATCAAGGGTCTGGCTAGATTGCCTGGAGCAAATTCACCATTTCTCAGTAGCAAGTTAGCCCTGAGATGGAGGAACCTTAAGTGACAATATGTCCTCTACAAACAGTATAAATAGACTACCTTGAATCTACAGCAATGAGGCTATGTGATTGAGACTACAGTGGTCAAAATGTATACATTACATGCTCTTAATTTTATTTCACTTAAAACTAAGTGCTTAAAAGTGGAAAATGCAAATTCATATATAGGTGTGTTTTTGCCCAGATCCTACCAGATTCTTTTATATGCACATCCTTTTTAGGCAGCTTGGCTAAAAAAATAAAATATAAAAATAATAAGTATTTTGGTTATAATACATTTTATACATACAGTAGATAATCAATATTCCTATCATAACTATTTGTTACAAGAAGCAAAGGTTAGAAAATAAAAGAGTGCTTACCTATTTGTATTGACTTTTCTTTCTTATCTGGTTCTAGAAAGTAAGAGAAAGACCTGAAGATGATGATCCTAGATAACTTATTGTGGGAATTTTTACTTTTTTATTTTTCTAAGCTCTTACCAGTTTCTTTTACATGAATATCTTTCTTTGGTAGCTTGGCTAAAATTAAATAATACAAATGTGGGGTTATAAATTTTAAACAGGGAACTAAAAATAGGACATGGACAGCATACTTACCAATTTCTACTGGCTTTTCCTTCTTGTGTGTTTCTAGAAAACAAGAGTCAAGAAAATGATTTTTCATTGAATGATCCTTTCTTCATTTGATGGTTTATTTTCATCAGTCAGCCACTGCTCTTATAAAACATTCCTGTAGTAATTTCAAGATGGAAAGTGGAATTTTCCAAATTTATTCTTTCTCAAGTCTTACCAGTTTTGCTTGCTTGCACAGGCTTTTTGGACAGCTTGGCTACAATAAAAAAAATTAAATAGATCAATTATTGTAAAATGCTGAATATGGATTATCAGTATGTATAACACATCTTTCAGGTAAGGTTAATTCAGGAAAATAAGAGTGTGCTTACCTATTTCAGTTGGCTTTTCTTTCTTGTCTGCTTCTAAAAAGTAAGAGGAAGGACAAAAATACGAATTCTGCATTTGGGTATTTAAAATAAACAGTGTTTAATAGATAACAGAGAAGCAAATGATGGAGTGAGGTACTTAGAGGAAAAAGTTGTAATTCCCCAATTGAAACTAAATTGGGATTGAAGGGACTGCTCTGACTAGATAACTCAGCTTTGGCAGACTGTACTTTATTATCTATTCATTCAGAGATTTCCCCTCTGGTGCAAACACAGTGGTGGCCTCTTCCTCCTACTTTTGCTGCTGTCAGATGTGACAGTAAAGTTCTCTTACAATGAGAGATTTAAGAGAAATGACATCTGGGGGAAGAAGAAGTATAAGGAAAGGTCCAAAGTTGGCTAGGATGGGGGAAGGATACAGTCAAAGAAGAAGTAAAAGGCAGGTAATGGAAGAGGGACTCAGATCAATAGTGGAGTGGGGGGGGTCGTGCATGTCTTGCTAAGGTTGCCATGGAGGTAATAGATAGAAATAATAAATTTAGGGATTATTCACCAGTGTTGATGATTTATGAGTTCATTATTCCAAACAAAACCTACCAGCTAGACAGAAGCAAGGACAACCTCCAAATAGGAAAGATCTAGTTTTCTATTAGCCACAGTTATAATGATATTGGATTCACAAGGACTCATGGCCAGATGGGATGGTTTGGTCCTATTGTAGGATAACTGAAATTCAACAATTTACCAATTCAGTCATATAGGAGGTCTGCTGTACGACCTCCTGAGATCATCTGGAAGATGATTCCAGCCTGCCTCAGCAACAAGCAAATGAAGCACCTCATGTGAACACATATCTTCAAGCAACAGCAAGCAAATTATGTTGGAGTAGGGTGAGAAATGACTGTTAAGAAACCAAGAGTGGGCAGAAAGCATTCTATTATCCATGCTTATCATTTGATTTCTTCAGTCAGACACTTTTTCACATTTTGTTTCAGCAAAAACATCTCAATAATCTTGAGTTAACTGATGGGAACTGTAAATTGCTAAATTTGTTTTTACCCAAAACTTACCAGATTCTTTTACATGGATATCCTTCTTTAGCAGTTTGGCTAAAATAAAAGTATATACGTACTGAGTTATTATAAACTTTGAACAACTCTACCATATCATTTGCTTCAAGAAAATAAAGGAGATACAATGACAACATACACACCTATTTCTATTGGCTTTTCTTTCTTATGTGGTACTAGAAAATAAAAGAAAGATCAGAATATGATTTCTGCATTTCAGAGTACAAAATAAATATTAATTCCATACATTAAACATGTTAAAATCATAGAGTGAGATCACTTTAAGTCAGTGATCTAAGTTAATTCCACAATTAAAAGAAATCAGAGTTGACAAGACCCTTCTGGCCAGATAATATTTTAATTTTAATTTTCAAAATGGGAAGTTGAATTTCACAGGTTTTTCCCTCTGAGGTCTTACCTGTTTGGTTTGCATGCACAGCCTTCTTTGGCAGCTTGGCTAAAATGAAAAGGTATAAATATATTGATTATTATAAATGTTGATTATGGATAATGAGTTTTTGGAACAACTCTTTCAAGTAAGCATAGGTGGGAAAATAGCAGCATGCTTACCTGTTTCTATTGGTTTCCCTTTCTTATGTGCTTCTAGAAAGTAAGACAACCAGAAAATTACTTCTACATTTGGTTGTTTATAGCAAGCAGTGGGTGACACTCTACATAGAATTATATCATAGACTGAGATACCTTGAAATTAAGAGAGTCTTTTAATTTGACAGTTAAAATGAAGCATAGACTGAGTGGGATCTTTTGACTAGAACACCCAAGGGGACAGAATGTAGTCTATCATCCAATTTTGCAACTTTAATTCAGCATATTTCACTAGTTTTATGGCACATTCATTTCCACAGTATGTGTTTACATAGTAATTGTCCAGAGTGGAAAATGGGATTTTCTAGACATAGTCTCACATAGCACTTACCGGTTTTATTTACAGACACATCTTTCTTTGACACTTTGGCTAAAAAACAAACAAACATTTTGACTATGACATAGATTGAACACAGATAATCAATATCTATTTAATGCCCATGTGTTTCAGAGAAGACACAATAAAAGAATGCTTACTCATTTCTCTTGACTTTTCTTTCTTGTGGGGTTCTAGAAAATAAACCAGACAAGGATGTCAACATTTGGGAGTTGGGAGGGAAAGGTTCTACCCCTGGCACAAAGACAATCTCCTCTGCCAATTAAAGGAAATGATCAGAGAGAAGAGGAACAGGAGGATGGAAATGAGTTATTTTATTTCTCTCCTTAGTTATTTTTTTTATTGTACAGTCATTCCCGTAATCTTGTAATCTTTGTATACTAAATGTTCAAAGTAATTTCTACATTTGATCTTACTCATGTCTTACTGGATTTTTTAACATGCAGATCCTTCTTTGGCAGCTTGGCTAAAATAAATGCATTTAAATATTGGTTTATTATAAAGTTTGAACAGCATATTACATCCATATGGTTCATATAAGCAAAAGGGAAAGAATAAGAACATAGTTAACGGTTTCTAGAAAATCAGAGATCGGAACATTATTTCTGTACTAGAGTGTTTTGTAGTAAAGTAAGACCATGTTTTATAAAGAATAAAATGATAGAGTAAGATCACTTATAGATAGTGAGACGTCTCAATTCACAATTAAAACGGAGATTGAACAAGTTTTCTAACTAGATAATCCATAGTGGGCAGAATGCAGTATATTAATTAACTTTGATATTATTCCACTACTTAGTCACTTTTCTTAGTCACTTAATAAGTATGGAAAACTCATTTCCATAGATCTGTCTTAACTTATAGTAAATGCTCAAAATGAAACATGTAATTTCATGCATATGTTTTTACCCAGGTCTTACCAGATTCTTTTACATGAATATCCTTCTTTGGCAGCTTGGCTAAAATAAAAAGATTATGCATTTTAATTATGATAAAATCTGGACCCTAGGTTATCCATATTCATGTGTTTCAGGGATGCAAAGATTAAACACAGGTGCATACTTACCCGTTTCTGCCAACTTTCCTTTCTTGTGTGATTCTAAGAAAGAGGAAGAGAAGAACATGATTTCTGTATTTTAGTGTTCATTGCATAGTGTGGGATTATTCCATATATTACAAACATCTGGGGCACAGATGTAAAAAGAGAAGGTTCCCTATTTTGCATAAGTGCAGTAATTAACTCCTCTTCCTGTTCTCCCCTCAGATGTGAGAGTAAAGTTTTCCCATGAGCAGAGATTTAAGAGAAATGGCATTTAAGGAAAGAGGAATAACTATAAGGAAGGGCCCATACTTGGCTGAGATGTGAGAAGGATACAGGCAAAGAAGACATAAAAAGGTGGGTCATGAAAGACAAGCTCAGATCAACAGGAAGGAGGTGTCATGCAGTGTTTTGTTAAAGCTGCTATGGAGGTTATAGATAGGAATAATAAACTTAGGGAAAACCCAGTGTTGATTATTAATGAGTTCAATATTCCAAACAAGGCCTACCAGCTATAGAGAAGTAAGGACTACCTCCATAATACCCAAACTACTAGATACTAGTTTTCTAGTAGATACAGTTAACATGACATTGGATTTACAAGGATTCATGGCCAGATGGGATGGTTTGGTCCTCTTGTGGGATAACTGGAATCCAATAGTTTATCAATTCTAAAGACTACTTCTTTGGGCAACTCAGTCATACAGGAGATCTGCTTCTGTTTTCTGATGGAAAACACCACCATATGGGTGGATCACCTGAAGAATTCCAGCAGCAAACAAATCCTAAACTGAAGCATCTCCTGTGAGGACATATCTTCAAGCAATGGTAAGCAAATAATCTTGGAGGGATGAGTGCTAGAAAGCCAACGGTGGGCAGAAGACATTCTATTATCCAGACTTATCATTTGATTTCTTCAGTCAGGCACATTTTCAAGGCAAACTCATGTTGATAGTCTTGGGTTAATTTATAGAAGGAATTGAAGGTTGTAAGTATCATGTGCTAGAATTGTTTTACTCAGCCCTTACCAGTTTCTTTTAAGTGCACATCACTCTTTGGCAGTTTGGCTATAATAAAGGGATACAAGTACTAAGTTATTATAAACATTAACAACTTGTTTAAACTATTTGCTTCAGGGAATTAAAGGAGATACAGTGTCAACATGCTTACCAGTTTCTGTTGGCTTTTCTTTCTTCTGTGTTTCTAGAAAATAGGAGGAAGATCAGAATGTGATTTCTGCATTTCAGGATGCAAAATAAAAGCAGGATGTGTGCTTATAATTCCATATATTAAATAGATTAAAATTATAGAGAGAGATCATTTTAAGTCAGCAAGTCTTTTGAGTCCACATTTAAAACAACAGGTAGAAAAGGAACTTCTGGCCAGATAATCTCATTGGACAGAACATAGTCTCCGATCTATGCTTGATGTTTTATTTCACTTTACTTATGGAACACTAATTTCGGTAGTTTTTATTAATTTTTGAGGGCATCAAATGGAATACTTTATATTTTTTTTCCTCAGGTCTTACCAGTTTTGTTTGCATGTACAGCCTTCTTTGGCAGCTTGGCTAAAATAAAAAGATTATGATAAATGTTGAATCTGGATAATTAGTACCTGTAACACATCTTTCAGATAAGCATAGGTGGGAAAATAAGACCATGCTTACCTATTTCTATTGGTTTTTCTTTCTTATCTGCTTCTAGAAAGTAAGAGGGAGACCATGATTTTTGCATTCAAAATTTCAAAATAAACAGTCTATAATTTAATATTTAACAAAGAATCAAATCACAGACTGAGAGCACTTCAATTCCACAAGCAAAACTAATCTGGGATTGAATAGATTCTGGATTCAGTTGGCAGAATGCACTTTATTATCTATTCTTTTTGTTTGTTTCTGTGTTTTTCTTCTTAAGGCTTATATGTCTTCTAAATTGAGAATAAGACTGAGCAGTTGTCATCCCTTCTTCCAGTAATAAGACTAAAATGCAACACATTCATGTTTTCATGGTAGTGCTTATTTGCCAGCAATCAAGGAAATATTTATTCTACATCACCCACAATCTGGCGCCAATATGAAGGTCCATTTTGAGGACATCTCCTTAAAAAATGGCAAGCAGACCATCTTGGAGCCAAAGGAACAGGATTGTGTGGATGAGGCCTAGGTAACCACAGTTTGAAGAGTATAGTATATTATTCATATTTTGTGCTTTATTTTACTAGGTAATCATTTAGGATGTATCATCCATTTTCATAGTCTTCTGTTAATTTATACTAAGCATTCAAAGGAAACATAGTGATTTCTAAAATACGTTTTTACCCCAGTCTTACCAGATTCCTTTACATGCAAATGTTTCTTTGGCGTTTTGGCTAAAAGAAGATATAAATATTTCAGTTATTTCACATTTTGAACATGTATAACCCATATCCATGTCCAATATTGTGTTTTGTGGTTTTAAAAGAAAGAAAATATTAACATACTAACCTATTTCTATTGGCTTTTCTTTTTTATGTGATTCTAAGAAGTAGGAAGAAGAACAAAACATGATTCTCCATCAGAGTCTATATAGCAAAGAGTGTATTTATTCCATATATAACAAAGAGTGAAATGATAGAGCAAGATCACACACATACAACAATTCCATGATTCACCAATTAAGATGAAACTGGGATTGAATGATCCTTCCTTCCTTCCTTCCTTCCTTCCTTCCTTCCTTCCTTCCTTCCTTCCTTCCTTCCTTCCTTCCTTCCTCCCTCCCTCCCTCCCTCCCTCCCTCCCTCCCTCCCTCCCTCTCCAATTTACAGTGACTAAGCTACGTCTTTCCATTAATAGGATTGAAATGCAATACATTCCGTATACAGTATATAATACACAAAAGAACCACAAATAATCCACAATTGCTGACCTTTCTTTTGGCCAACCACATCCACCCCACAAAGGCTCTCCAGTATAGTCACTTTTATTAACCTTCCAGAATTTCAGCAAGGAAGGGGACAATTTCATCTCTGGTGCTCCTGCTTAAAGGAGGGAGAGCAACAAGGCACTTTGAAAGCAATTTTCTCCATGGGTGGGAGAATGGGCAGATTCCAACTGGTGAAGGCTGTCTTACAGATGCATAAATTTATTTTATTTCTTAGATTTCTATTTTGCTTTTTCTTCCTGTGGACTGCATAGTGTCCACTCTTCCCATTTCTGCCATAGTGACAGCCCTGTTTCCTTGACTGGACTGAGAGAAACTGCCTGAAACTCCTCTATGGTTTCTATGGCTAAATGTGCATGTCTCTGATGCCTGCCCAATACCATAACTGTCAGAATATTCATGACTGGGACAAGGTCAGCCAATGAATAGGCATAGCAACTAAGTCAGCCAATTGGGAGCTGAGACAGACTGGAGCCAGGGCATGTCCTAGTCTGCAGCTTCTGATTCTGTGCAGAGAAACAAAACTGAAACCAAGCAGTCTGTGCATGCTGTCTGGTCTGCTGAGATGAACCTGTGAATCTGCTGTTGGTATTGTAAATACATAGTAAAGGTAAGTAGAACCCATCCCTGCTTGTGACTCTTGTTGATCCTGGGGTAACATCAGGGGTGGGTTCTACTTACCTTTACTACCGGTTCGCAACAGGGCCGCGCGTACGCAGTATTACTTCATGTATTATTGTGTATATAAAGAAGTTAATGAATCCTGCTGTATCAGTTTATCTGTGTGTGCTTCTGGATTTGTTTTTTGCAACAAACTCTGAGAATAACCATTATATTTTTTCCATCTGCCATTTTATTTCACTGGTTGCTCACTTGTCAAATTTTATACATATCCATAGTCTTCTATTGATTTATACAGTGTTTAAACTTATTTTTTTTATCCAGGTCTTACCAGATTCTTGAATATGGATATCCTTTTTGGGCTGGGGTGCTGAAAAACAAAAATATTGCGTTTACATACATTCTGGGCTGCTCTGTCAATATATTTCAGGGAAGCCAAGACAAAATAACAGAAAATAAGCTCAAATTTACTAATTATACTAAATGTTAAAAATTCCTTCCTTCCTTCCTCCCTCCCTCCCACCCGTCTAATTTTCTAGATTGATTTTTTCCTCCCTTGTGCTTACCAGTTTCTTTCACATGCACATCCTTTTTTGGTAGCTTTGCTGAAATAAAAAAGTGTAAATATTGAGATATGATAACTTTAAACATTATAGCATTTCAATATGCTTCACTGAGGGCAAGGTTAGATAGCATGGATATTCTTACCTATGTCTATTGGCTTTTCTTTCTTATGTGTTTCTAGAAATTAAAAAGACCAGAACATGATTTCTGCATTAAATTACAATAAATAGTATTCTTTCTTCCCATTTCTTCCCACAACAACAACTTTGTGAGGTTGGTTGGGCTGAGACAGACAGACTGGTCCAAAGTCATTTACTCAGGCTCCGTGGCTGTATATAGACTTGAACCTAGATCTCCCTGTTGCCAGTTCAACCTCTTAAGCACTACTACACCAATATAATAATAATAATAATAATAATAATAATAATAATAATAATAATAATTTTATTTCTATACCGCCCTTCTCCCGAAGGACTCAGGGCAGTGTACAGCCTAATTAAAAGCACAAAGACAAACAAAATTTAAAAATAATTAAAATTATTAAATAATTGGCTCAATTATAAAACCCCCAAATTTAAAATCCCACATTTAAAACCAATTAAAATCTTTACATTGATAGCCCGGCCTGGTGGAACAACAAGGTTTTGAGGGCACAGTGAAATATACGGAGATCAGAGATCTTACGCATTTCTGGGGGCAGTTCATTCCAAAGGGCAGGGGCTCCCACAGAGAAGGCCCTCCCCCTGGGTGTTGCCAGCCGACATAATTTGGCCGATGGCACCCTGAGGAGACCCTCTCTGTGGGAGCGGACTTGATTCTCGTTAACCATTTTACTTCAGAACTTAAGCACTTTTTTCTCACCTCTTCCAGATAGACCCAAGAAGGAAATCAATTCCAAAGGGAGGCTAAAACTACTTTTATTGAATTTGGTTATAATACCGAACTCTTGAAAATCAGATTGTGCTGTAGCTCGTCGTCTTCCCACTTAGTAAATTAGGGAGGCATCTCCCTGAGCCACTTGCAAATGTTATCTAGATATTCTGGACTTAAAAAATGTTTCACCCTTTGTCATCTTTTCAATGGAGTTTGCCTACCATTATCAAGGTCATTATCCTTACTCTCTACATTTTTTCCTATAACACATCTATTTCCACTCTCTCATGTTAATATATATTAAGTGCTAAAAGTAAAAAAAGTGCTTAGTGGAAAGGGAGATATGAATCCATGGCCATGATTATTCACCTTCTCTTCACTCACTGACCACGAGGGGGAAGCTGGATACACATAGATAATTCAGGATTTGTTTTGCTTCCCTCTTTTATCTATCTCATTCTGCCTGCTGTTTGTTTTATAGGCTAGCTAATCTGAGTTCACTTCAGTCTGCATTTGCTCCAGAAATATATGCATGGAATGCATTTTCTTTTACTTTTCCCCAAGTAGAATGCAGCTAGCTTTGCCAACTCCTATAATGTATTGTATATGAACAACTCTCTTTTCTTTTATAGATATTAAACCTGAGCAACTAGTAGTAACTCAGGTCAAGTTCTAGCTCTCACAAACACACCACTCTTACAGAAAGTGTACTTTCCTAGATTTATTTTTATCCAGATTGTAACAGATTCTTTGATAAGCTTATCTTTCTCTGAAAGGATGGCTAAAATTATTGTTTTAGGTTACTATAAATTTTAAACAGTACACCATGTCAGTGCTGCATGGAGGCAAACTGGGGGAGGGGGATGAGAATATTTACCTATTTCTATTGTTTTTTCTTTCTTATCTGGCTCTAGAAATAAGAGGAAGACAAAAACATTTCTGCATTGGAATGTCCAGTGAAGTCAGTGAAACTTTTAATTTGATATTCAAAATGAAGCCAGATTGAGCAGGTTCTTCTGAAAACCCAGAAATGGTAACATCCAGGTTGATCCTTTTAATTCATTGGTTTCACAGCACACTCATCGTCATAGAGTTGTGTTAATTTATAGCAATTCTTCAAACAGAAAAGTGCAATTTTTTAAGATTTATTTTTTATATGGCACTTACCGGATTTGTTTACATCTTTCTTTGGCACTTTGGCTAAAAGAAAAAGATTCAAACATTTGGGCTATGACATAGATTGAATCCAAATGATCAATATCTCTTTAAAGCCCATATGTTCCAGAAGACTGCAGAAGGCAAAATAAGAGAGCCCTTACCTGTTTCTCTTGGCTTTTCTTTCTTGTGGGGTTCTAGAAAGTAAGAGGAAAACCAGAACATGATGTCAATATTTGGGTGTTTATATTAAAGGGAAAGATTCTTCTCCTGACACGAAGACAGTGGTTTGTTCCTTCTCCTGCTGCTGTGGTCAGGGGGTTGCAACAATGTTCTCTGCCAAGGTCAACGTTAAAGGAAGGGGCAGCAAAGGGAAGAGAAACATGGTGGGGGAAAGGAGTCACCCTTGGTTGAGGGCTTCTAATGGGGAACGGAATCAGGCAGGCAGAAGAGGATTACTATATGGACCAGGACAAGGGATATAGACAGTTATGTAGGAAATGGTCCTGGAATAAGCAATGTCTGGTAAAGCTGTGAGGAGATTACTGTGATGGTATGTGAAAATGACCTTCAGATACAGAAGCAAGACCTCCAACCTAGTCAGTGGTCTGATAAAAGGCAGCTTAGTCTAGGGGAAAAGCTGGAAAGCATTTCAGAAGGGACCCTCCCTCTAAAAGACTAGGAAGGGGAAGTGATAAATACTTTCAGTCTTCCAAGATTCTTTTCAAGGGCTAATGATTCCTGATGGGTCTACTTTACTTAGAGAACACCCAGTTTTGGTTTTGGTAGACCAACTTTCCCTAAAAAGAAAGGGTAAACTTTAAGTGTAAAAGTTTTAATATTTCTGATCGTCTCTATGGAGGTCATTTATAACCAGTTGAGATGGTTCTCCCATAAGTCTAGCGTTCAGAATGCTGGCAACAGATACCTTCTCCAGGCAAAACAAAAGAGACATGGAGCAGGTCTTTCTCTGCTCTCTCATAGAAAATATATGTTCTAGTTGGATAAGATGGAGTAGCTTCAACTGGCCTCTCCAGCAAGCCAGCGATGAGAAAGAAGATATCATATGAGGATATATCTTTAACAAGCAGAAACCCAATGATCTAGGAGGCAGGGCAAGAGATGAGGCCTAGGATGGGCAGAAGGCTCTCTATTATTCATCATTTAATGTTTTTTTGTCAGTCTCTTTTTCAAGGCAACTCATCATAATAATTTTTGGTTAACTGATAGGAGTTGCTAGAACTGTTTTGATCCAGATCTTACCAGATTCTTTTATGTGGATATCCTTCGTTGGTAGCCAGGCTAAAATGAAAAGTTAAAAGTACTGAGTTTTAATAAATGTGGCACAGCTGCAATATATTAATATATTTCAACGCAGCAAAGGTGGGACAGTAATTCATGTTTACCTGTTTCTAATGGCTTTTCTTTCTTGTGGGACTCTAGACAATAAAAGAAAGAGCAGAATATTATTTCTCTCATCTTCATAGATGTACCCACAACTCATAGATTTGTGATAATTTATTATATTGGAGCCGTGGTGGCGTAGTGGTTAGAATGCAGTACTGCAGGCTAACTCTGCTGACTCCCAGCTGCCAGCAGTTCGGCAGTTTGATTCTCACCAGGCTCAAGATTGGCTCAGCCTTCCATCCTTCCAAGGTCAGTAAAATGAGGAGTCAGATTGTTGGGGGCAATATGCTGACTCTGTAAACCGCTTAGAGGGGGCTGTAAAGCACTGTGACCTGGTATATAAGTCTAAGTGCTATTGCTATTGTAACAATTCTTCAAACAGAAAGATGCAATTTGCTAGATTGATTTTTACATGGCACTTACCAGTTTTGTTTATATCCACATCTTTCTTTGGCACTTTGACTAAAAGAAAAATATTCAAACATTTTGAATATGGCATAGATTGAACACAAATGATCAACATCCCTTTAATGCCCATATGTTCTAGAGAAGCTCAGAAGACAAAATAAGAGAGCTCTTACCCATTTCTCTTGGCTTTTCTTTTTTGTGGAGTTCTAGAAAGTAAGATGAAAATCAGAACATGATATCAACATTTGGATCTTCATACTAAAGGGCCCCTCCCTCTGGCAAGAGAAGACCCCAGGAAACTAAGTGTGGGCAGAAGGAAACTCTATTACTCATCATTATTTGATTTCATTTTTTGTCAGTCTCTTTTTCAAAGTAACTCATCATAATAATTTTGTGTTAACTGATGGGAAATGTAAATTGTTGGATCTATTTTGATTCAGATCTTACCAAATTCTTTTATATGGATATCCTTCATCGGTAGCCTGGCTAAAACGAAAAATTAAAAATACTGAGTTTTAATAAATATTGCACAGTTGTACTATATTATACTGTATATGTTTCGCATAAACAAAGATGGGGAACTAATTCATGTTTACCTGTTTCTAATGGCTTTTCTTTCTTGTGGGGTTCTAGACAATAAGAGAAAGACCAGAACATTATTTCTCTCATCTTTATAAAGTTGTGTTAACTTATAACAATTTTTCAAACGGAAAGGTGCAATTTTCTAGTTTTTTTATACGGCACTTACCAGTTTTTATATGCACATCTTTCTTTGGCACTTTGACTAAAAGAGAAATATTCACAATGTTTGAATATGACATAGATTGAACACAAATGATCAACATCCCTTTAATGCCCATATGTTCCAGAGCAGCACAAAATAAGAGAGCTCTTACCCATTTCTCTTGGCTTTTCTTTTTTGTGGGTTTCTAGAAAGTAAGAGGAAAACCAGAACATGATGTCATATTTGGGTGTTCATACTAAATGGAAAAGTTCTTCCCCTGGCACAAAGACAGTGGTTTGTTTGTTCCTTATCCTGCTGTTGTGGTCAGAGGTCGCAGCAATGTTCTCTGCCAAGTTCAAAGTTAAGGGAAGGGGCAGCAGAGGGAAGAGGAACATGATGGGGGAAAGTAGTCACCCTTGGTTGGAGGCTTCTAATGGGGAATGGAATCAGGCAGGCAGAGGAAGGCAGAGGAAGACTACTACATGAACAAGAACAGAGGGTGAGGGTAGAGGCAGCTATGTAAGAAATGGTCCTGGAATAAACAATGTCTGGTAAAGCTGTGAGGAGATTACTGTACTGTGATGGTATGTGGAAGTGACCTTGGGAGACAGAAGCAACCTTGTCAGTGGTCTGATAAAAGGCAGTTTAATCTGCCAGTGGCAGGGGGGCGAGTCTTGGAAGAATTTCAGAAGGGACACTCCCTCTAAAGGATTAAAAAAAAGGAGGATAGAAATACTTCCAGTTTTGCAAGATTCTATTTAAGGGCTAATGATTACTGATGGGAGTACTGTACTTAGAGAATACAAAGTTTTGGTTTAAAGTATTGGGTAGAAGAACACTCCCAAAAAACAAAGGATAAACTTTAACTGTCAAAGTTCCACTATCTGTGATTGTCAAAATTAAACTATGGACAGAATCTATAACCAATTGATATGGTCCTTCTATACGTTTAGGGCTATAGGTTTAGGTTTAGAATGCTGGCAACACTAAAGGCAAAACATTATACACATGGAGGAGGTTTTTTTCTGCTCTCTCGTAGAAAATACATTTTCTAGTTGGATAAGCTGGAGTAGCTTCAACTGGCCTCTACAGCAAGATCCTGTAGATCCTCTGAGAAAGAGGATCTTATATGAGAATATATCTTCAACAACTGATCATAAGGAAATGATCTAGGAAGCAGGGCAAAAGATGGGCAGAGCACACTCCATTATTTATCATTATTTGATTTTTTTTGTCAGTCTCTTTTTCAAGGCAACTCATCATAATAATTTTGTGTTAACTGATGGGAAGTAGATCTCTTTTGATCCAGATCTTACCGGATTCTTTTACATGGATATCCTTCATTGGTAACTTGGCTAAAATGAAAAGTTAGAAGTACTGAGTTTTAATAAATGTGGCAGAGCTGTGATATATTAATACGTTTCCACCTAAGCAAAGGTGGGGCACTAATTCATGTTTATCTGTTTCTAATGTCTTTTCTTTCTTGTGGGACTCTAGACAATAAAAGAAAGAGCAGAATATTATTTCTCTCATCTTCATAGATGTACCCACAACTCATAGATTTGTGATAATTTATTATATTGGAGCCGTGGTGGTGTAGTGGTTAGAATGCAGTACTGCAGGCTAACTCTGCTGATTCCCAGCTGCCAGCAGTTCAGCAGTTTGATTCTCACCAGGCTCAAGATTGGCTCAGCCTTCCATCCTTCCAAGGTCAGTAAAATGAGGAGTCAGATTGCTGGGGGCAATATGCTGACTCTGTAAACTGCTTGGAAGGGGCTGTAAAGCACTGTGACCTGGTATATTGCTATTGTAACAATTCTTCAAACAGAAAGATGCAATTTGCTAGATTTATTTTTACATGGCACTTACCAGTTTTGTTTATATCCACATCTTTCTTTGGCCTGGCTAAAATGAAAAGTTAAAAATACTGAGTTTTAATAAATATTGCACAGTTGTACTATATTATACTGTATATGTTTCGCATAAACAAAGATGAGGAACTAATTCATGTTTACCTGTTTCTAATGGCTTTTCTTTCTTGTGGGGTTCTAGACAATAAGAGAAAGACCAGAACATTATTTCTCTCATCTTTATAAAGTTGTGTTAACTTATAACAATTTTTCAAATGGAAAGGTGCAATTTTCTAGATTTATTTTTACATGGCACTTACCAGTTTTGTTTACGTGCACATCTTTTTTTGGCACTTTGGCTAAACGAAAAATAATTCAAACATTTGGACTATGACCTAGATTGTATCCAAATGATCAATATCCCTTTAATGCCCATATGTTCTAGAGAAGCTCAGAAGACAAAATAAGAGAGCTCTTACCCGTTTCTCTTGGCTTTTCTTTCTTGTGGGGTTCTAGAAATTAAAAGGAAAACCAGAACATGGTATCAACATTTGGATCTTCATACTAAAGGGCCCCTCCCTCTGGCAAGAGAAGACCCTAGGAAACTAAGTGTGGGCAGAAGGAAACTCTATTATTCATCATTATTTGATTTTATTTTTTGTCAGTCTCTTTTTCAAAGCAACTCATCATAATAATTTTATGTTAACTGATGGGAAATGTAAATTGTTGGATCTATTTTGATTCAGATCTTACCAAATTCTTTTATATGGATATCCTTCATCGGTAGCCTGGCTAAAACAAAAGTTAAAAATACTGAGTTCTAATAAATATTGCATAGTTGTACTATTTTATACTGTATATGTTTCAAATAAACAAAGATGAGGAACTAATCATGTTTACCTGTTTCTAATGGCTTTTCTTTCTTGTGGGGTTCTAGACAATAAGAGAAAGAACATTATTTCTCTCATCTTTATAAAGTTGTGTTAACTTATAACAATTTTTCAAACGGAAAGGTGCAATTTTCTAGATTTATTTTTACATGGCACTTACCAGTTTTGTTTACGTGCACATCTTTTTTTGGCACTTTGGCTAAACGAAAAATAATTCAAACATTTGGACTATGACCTAGATTGTATCCAAATGATCAATATCCCTTTAATGCCCATATGTTCTAAGAAAGCTCAGAAGACAAAATAGGAGAGCTCTTACCCATTTCTCTTGGCTTTTCTTTCTTGTGGGGTTCTAGAAATTAAGAGGAAAACCAGAACATGATATCAACATTTAGCTGTTCGTACTAAAGGGACCCTACCTCTAAAAGACTAGAAAGAAGGGGAGAAATATTTTCAGTCTCACAAGATTCTATTTAAGGGCTAGTGATTACTGATGGGAGTACTGTACTTAGAGAACGTTATAGGGCAATATCAAGATCACCATCCTCCTGTTCTACAGTTTCAGAGTTATCCATCCAGGATAGTGCTTCATTAGCATCATCATCATCAGACACCCACAGCCACATATCACTATCACCTAAAAAAAAAGAAAAAACCCTTCCCTCCTGGAACCACCATAGATAAGTTTGTGATAAAAACTAGCAGATTAGAAAAAGAATTAATTGATGAAAAAATTGCCCAGTTTGTTTATGCAACGAACTCTTCTTTCCATCTGACTGAGAACCCACATTTCATTAATATGGTTCAGACACTGAGACCAGGATACACTCCACCCAGCAGAGCAGATGTTGCAGGGAAACTGCTGGATAATGTGTATGACAGAGAAATGGAGCAATGTGCAACAGCTCTGGAGGGTAGAATTGTTAACCTAAGTATTGATGGGTGGAGTAATGTCCACAATGATCCTATTGTATGTGCTTGTATAACAACAGAAGAAGGGAAAGTCTTCCTTTCACAAACAATTGATACGTCAGGAAATGCACACACAGCAGAATACTTACAAGAAGTGGCAGTAAAAGCTATAATAACATGTGAACAAAAATTCAAATGTCTAGTACGCAGTTTGGTCACAGACAATGCTGCAAATGTATCCAAGATGAGAAGAAATTTAGAAGAGCAGGAAGGGAATACAAAGCTAATAACATATGGTTGCAGTGCTCATTTGCTGCACCTCTTAGCCAAAGACTTAAGTGTCCCAGAAATAAAGACTAATGTTGTTGAAATTGCTAAACACTTCCGTAACAATCATTTTGCTGCAGCAGCTCTGAAAAGGGTGGGTGGAACTAAGCTAACGCTCCCACAAGATGTTAGATGGAACTCTGTGGTGGACTGTTTTGAGCAGTATATCAAGAACTGGCCTATTCTGATGACAGTTTGTGAAGAAAATCAAGATAAAATAGATGGCACTGTCACGGCCAAAATCCTCAACATTGGGCTTAACAGAAATGTTGAAAATATGCTGAGCATCCTGAAACCCATCTCTGAAGCTTTAAACAAAATACAGAAAAATAGCTGTTTTATTGCTGATGCTGTTGAAATTTGGAAGGAACTGAGTGAACACTTAAAAACAGAACTACACATGGACAGAATTAAATTACAAGCATTAAAAAAATGAATGGGACAAGTACTGTCTCCAGCTCATTTTTTGGCAAATATTGTCAATATCTAGTATCAGGGTCAAAACTTAAGTGCTGAGGAAGAGGAGTTAGCTATGACATGGGTATCCAGCAATCATCCATCTGTAATGCCAACTATAGTAAACTTCAAAGCTAAGGGGGAACCATTCAAGAAATATTTGTTTGCTGAAGATATTTTAAAGAAAGTCACACCAGTGAACTGGTGGAAGTCACTTAAGCACTTGGATTTAGAGACTTTCAAGTAACGATTTCACTTTTAAAAGCAGTAGCTTCTTCTGCAGGCGTTGAAAGAATATTCCTTTCCTTTGGACTCATTCATTCTAAATTGAGAAATCGTTTGGGACCCGATAAAGCAGGAAAGCTTGTTTTTCTTTTCCAGATTATGAACAAAGAAGAACATGAAGATGACGAGTGAGCTACAGAGGACAGTATTTAAGTTTTTCATGTGTAGACTTGGCTGACAGTCTAAGTTTCTTAATATATATATATATATATATATATATATATATATATATATATATATATATATATATATATATTGTTTAGCCAAATTAGTTAACAAACAAGGATGTTTGTTTAAGCAAATAACATATGCTGTAATGTTATTGTTTCAGTTGAATAAATCTATTTAAATTGTTATTATTAAGGTAATGATTATTTTTCTCCTTCCTAAGTACAATAGAAAAGTTGTCCAAATATGAATGATTAACCTATTAAACTGGGGATAAAAAAACTAATATGAAAAGTTGTTATTCTAAAAATCTTCATCTACTTACATATTAAAGTTATACCAGCAAGAATTAGTCTTTATGTAAAAAACTATGATTTAAATCAAGCCTTGCAGACTAGTGATTAAATCGTGATTTAAATCATGATTTAAATCAGTTTGATTTAAATCAAATCCACCCTGAAAAGAAAGAGCAGAATATTATTTCTCTCATCTTCATAGATGTACCCACAACTCATAGATTTGTGATAATTTATTATATGGAGCCGTGGTGGCGTAGTGGTTAGAATGCAGTACTGCAGGCTAACTCTGCTGACTCCCAGCTGCCAGCAGTTTGGCAATTTGATTCTCACCAGGCTCAAGATTGGCTCAGCCTTCCATCCTTCCAAGGTCGGTAAAATGAGGAGTCAGATTGTTGGGGGCAATATGCTGACTCTGTAAACCTCTTGGAGGGGGCTGTAAAGCACTGTGACCTGGTATATAAGTCTAAGTGCTATTGCTATTGTAACAATTCTTCAAACAGAAAGATGCAATTTGCTAGATTTATTTTTACATGGCACTTACCATTTTTGTTTATATCCACATCTTTCTTTGGCACTTTGACTAAAAGAAAAATATTCAAACATTTTGAATATGGCATAGATTGAACACAAATGATCAACATCCCTTTAGTGCCCATATGTTCCAGAGCAGCATAGAAGACAAAATAAGAAAGCTCTTACCCATTTCTCTTGGCTTTTCTTTTTTGTGGAGTTCTAGAAAGTAAGACGAAAATCAGAACATGGTATCAACATTTGGATCTTCATACTAAAGGGCCCCTCCTCTGGCAAGAGAAGACCCTAGGAAACTAAGTGTGGGCAGAAGGAAACTCTATTATTCATCATTATTTGATTTTATTTTTTGTCAGTCTCTTTTTCAAAGCAGCTCATCATAATAATTTTGTGTTAACTGATGGGAAATGTAAATTGTTGGATCTATTTTGATTCAGATCTTACCAAATTCTTTTATATGGATATCCTTCATCGGTAGCCTGGCTAAAATGAAAAGTTAAAATATTGAGTTTTAATAAATATTGCACAGTTTGTACTATATTATACTGTATATGTTTCGCATAAACAAAGATGGGGAACTAATTCATGTTTACCTGTTTCTAATGGCTTTTCTTTCTTGTGGGGTTCTAGACAATAAGAGAAAGACCAGAACATTATTTCTCTCATCTTTATAAAGTTGTGTTAACTTATAACAATTTTTCAAACGGAAAGGTGCAATTTTCTAGATTTATTTTTACATGGCACTTACCAGTTTTGTTTACGTGCACATCTTTTTTTGGCACTTTGGCTAAACGAAAAATAATTCAAACATTTGGACTATGACCTAGATTGTATTCAAATGATCAATATCCCTTTAATGCCCATATGTTCTAGAGAAGCTCAGAACACAAAATAGGAGAGCTCTTACCCGTTTCTCTTGGCTTTTCTTTCTTGTGGGGTTCTAGAAATTAAAAGGAAAACCAGAACATGGTATCAACATTTGGATCTTCATACTAAAGGGCCCCTCCCTCTGGCAAGAGAAGACCCTAGGAAACTAAGTGTGGGCAGAAGGAAACTCTATTATTCATCATTATTTGATTTTATTTTTTGTCAGTCTCTTTTTCAAAGCAGCTCATCATAATAATTTTGTGTTAACTGATGGGAAATGTAAATTGTTGGATCTATTTTGATTCAGATCTTACCAAATTCTTTTATATGGATATCCTTCATCGGTAGCCTGGCTAAAATGAAAAGTTAAAAATACTGAGTTTTAATAAATATTGCACAGTTGTACTATATTATACTGTATATGTTTTGCATAAACAAAGATGGGGAACTAATTCATGTTTACCTGTTTCTAATGGCTTTTCTTTCTTGTGGGGTTCTAGACAATAAGAGAAAGACCAGAACATTATTTCTCTCATCTTTATAAAGTTGTGTTAACTTATAACAATTTTCAAACGGAAAGGTGCAATTTTCTAGATTTATTTTTACATGGCACTTACCAGTTTTGTTTATGTGCACATCTTTTTTGGCACTTTGGCTAAACGAAAAATAATTCAAACATTTGGACTATGACCTAGATTGTATTCAAATGATCAATATCCCTTTAATGCCCATATGTTCTAGAGAAGCTCAGAACACAAAATAGGAGAGCTCTTACCCGTTTCTCTTGGCTTTTCTTTCTTGTGGGGTTCTAGAAATTAAAAGGAAAACCAGAACATGGTATCAACATTTGGATCTTCATACTAAAGGGCCCCTCCCTCTGGCAAGAGAAGACCCTAGGAAACTAAGTGTGGGCAGAAGGAAACTCTATTATTCATCATTATTTGATTTTATTTTTTGTCAGTCTCTTTTTCAAAGCAGCTCATCATAATAATTTTGTGTTAACTGATGGGAAATGTAAATTGTTGGATCTATTTTGATTCAGATCTTACCAAATTCTTTTATATGGATATCCTTCATCGGTAGCCTGGCTAAAATGAAAAGTTAAAAATACTGAATTTTAATAAATATTTCACAGTTGTACTATATTATACTGTATATGTTTCGCATAAACAAAGATGGGGAACTAATTCATGTTTACCTGTTTCTAATGGCTTTTCTTTCTTGTGGGGTTCTAGACAATAAGAGAAAGACCAGAACATTATTTCTCTCATCTTTATAAAGTTGTGTTAACTTATAACAATTTTTCAAACGGGAAGGTGCAATTTTCTAGATTTATTTTATACAGCACTTACCAGTTTTTATATGCATATCTTTCTTTGGCACTTTGACTAAAAGAGAAATATTCAGAATGTTTGAATATGACATAGATTGAACACAAATGATCAACATCCCTTTAATGCCCATATGTTCCAGAGCAGCACAAAATAAGAGAGCTCTTACCCATTTCTCTTGGCTTTTCTTTTTTGTGGGTTTCTAGAAAGTAAGAGGAAAACCAGAACATGATGTCATATTTGGGTGTTCATACTAAACGGAAAAGTTCTTCCCCTGGCACAAAGACAGTGGTTTGTTTGTTCCTTATCCTGCTGTTGTGGTCAGAGGTCGCAGCATTGTTCTCTGCCAAGTTCAAAGTTCAGGGAAGGGGCAGCAGAGGGAAGAGGAACATGATGGGGGAAAGTAGTCACCCTTGGTTGGAGGCTTCTAATGGGGAATGGAATCAGGCAGGCAGAGGAAGGCAGAGGAAGACTACTGCATGAACAAGAACAGAGGGTGAGGGTAGAGGCAGCTATGTAAGAAATGGTCCTGGAATAAACAATGTCTGGTAAAGCTGTGAGGAGATTACTGTACTGTGATGGTATGTGGAAGTGACCTTGGGAGACAGAAGCAACCTTGTCAGTGGTCTGATAAAAGGCAGTTTAATCTGCCAGTGGCAGGGGGGCGAGTCTTGGTAGAATTTCAGAAGGGACACTCCCTCTAAAGGATTAAAAAAAGGGGGATAGAAATACTTCCAGTTTTGCAAGATTCTATTTAAGGCTAATGATTACTGATGGGAGTACTGTACTTAGAGAATACAAAGTTTTGGTTTAAAGTATTGGGTAAAGAACACTCCCAAAAAACAAAGGATAAACTTTAACTGTCAAAGTTCCACTATCTGTGATTGTCAAAATTAAACTATGGACAGAATCTATAACCAATTGATATGGTCCTTCTATACGTTTAGGGCTATAGGTTTAGGTTTAGAATGCTGGCAACACTAAAGGCAAAACATTATACACATGGACGAGGTTTTTTTCTGCTCTCTCGTAGAAAATACATTTTCTAGTTGGATAAGCTGGAGTAGCTTCAACTGGCCTCTACAGCAAGATCCTGTAGATCCTCTGAGAAAGAGGATCTTATATGAGAATATATCTTCAACAACTGATCATAAGGAAATGATCTAGGAAGCAGGGCAAGAGATGGGCAGAGCACACTCTATTATTTATCATTATTTGATTTTTTTTGTCAGTCTCTTTTTCAAGGCAACTCATCATAATAATTTTGTGTTAACTGATGGGAAGTAGATCTCTTTTGATCCAGATCTTACCAGATTCTTTTACATGGATATCCTTCATTGGTAACTTGGCTAAAATGAAAGGTTAGAAGTACTGAGTTTTAATAAATGTGGCAGAGCTGTGATATATTAATATGTTTCCACCTAAGCAAAGGTGGGCACTAATTCATGTTTACCTGTTTCTAATGTCTTTTCTTTCTTGTGGGACTCTAGACAATAAAAGAAAGAGCACAATATTATTTCTCTCATCTTCATAGAGTTGTGATAATTTATTATATTGGAGCTGTGGTGGCGCAGTGGTTAGAATGCAGCACTGCAGGCTAATTCTGCTGGCTGCCGGCTGCCAGCAGTTCGGAAGTTTGATTCTCTCCAGCTCAAGGTTGACTCAGCCTTCCATCAGCCTTCCATCCTTCCAAGGTCGGTAAAATGAGGAGTCAGATTGTTGGGGGCAATATGCTGACTCTGTAAACTGCTTAAAGGGGGCTGTAAAGCACTGTGACCTGGTATATAAGTCTAAGTGCTATTGCTATTGTAACAATTCTTCAAACAGAAAGATGCAATTTGCTAGATTTATTTTTACATGGCACTTACCAGTTTTGTTTATATCCACATCTTTCTTTGGCACTTTGACTAAAAGAAAAATATTCAAACATTTTGAATATGGCATAGATTGAACACAAATGATCAACATCCCTTTAGTGCCCATATGTTCCAGAGCAGCATAGAAGACAAAATAAGAGAGCTCTTACCCATTTCTCTTGGCTTTTCTTTTTTGTGGAGTTCTAGAAAGTAAGACGAAAATCAGAACATGATATCAACATTTGGATCTTCATACTAAAGGGCCCCTCCCTCTGGCAAGAGAAGACCCTAGGAAACTAAGTGTGGGCAGAAGGCACTCTATTATTCATCATTATTTGATTTTATTTTTTGTCAGTCTCTTTTTCAAAGTAACTCATAATAATTTTGTGTTAACTGATGGGAAATGTAAATTGTTGGATCTATTCTGATTCAGATCTTACCAAATTCTTTTATATGGATATCCTTCATCGGTAGCCTGGCTAAAACGAAAAGTTAAAAATACTGAGTTTTAATAAATATTGCATAGTTGTACTATATTATACTGTATATGTTTCGCATAAACAAAGATGGGGAACTAATTCATGTTTACCTGTTTCTAATGGCTTTTCTTTCTTGTGGGGTTCTAGACAATAAGAGAAAGACCAGAACATTATTTCTCTCATCTTTATAAAGTTGTGTTAACTTATAACAATTTTTCAAACGGAAAGGTGCAATTTTCTAGATTTATTTTTACATGGCACTTACCAGTTTTTATATGCACATCTTTCTTTGGCACTTTGACTAAAAGAAAAATATTCACAATGTTTGAATATGACATAGATTGAACACAAATGATCAACATCCCTTTAATGCCCATATGTTCCAGAGCAGCACAAAATAAGAGAGCTCTTACCCATTTCTCTTGGCTTTTCTTTCTTGTGGGTTTCTAGAAATTAAGAGGAAAACCAGAACATGATGTCAACATTTGGCTGTTCGTACTAAAGGGACCCTACCTCTAAAAGACTAGAAAGAAGGGGAGAAATATTTTCAGTCTCACAAGATTCTATTTAAGGGCTAGTGATTACTGATGGGAGTACTGTACTTAGAGAACCTTATAGGGCAATGTTGGCATGTGCCCCAGGGAGCTGCTCTTCCAGTTTCTGGAACTCCTGCATGTGTGAAGACCAGCTTGCTGGCCCATGCCAGAACCCAGAAGAGCAATGGGCAACAGCTGGCATGCCCAGAGAGATGACTCTGTGCGCCACTTCTGGCACGCATGCCATAGATTCACCATCACAGTTATAGGGTCTCCTGCATGACCAGGGGGCTGGACTAGAAGACCTCCACAGTCTCCACAGCTCTATTCTATTCTTCTATTCTAACACTCAGTTTTGGTTTTTGGTATTGGGTAGACCAACTTTCCCTAAAAAGAAAGGATGAACTTAAAGTGTAAAAGTTCCAATATCTCTGATTGTAAATATTAAATCCACTATGGAGGGCATTTATAACCAATTGATATGGTCCAGAGGTGGGTTCTACTTACCTTTACTACTGGTTTGCAACGGGGCTGCGTGCGTGCACTCGCTTCACCCATATGCATCCGCGCTCTTCTGCGCAAGTGCAGAAGCTTCTGCACATGCACAGAAGCATTTTGATGACATCAGGATCAGTGGGTGGAGCCCCCCACCGGTTTTACTACCAGTTCTATAGAACCAGTGTGAACTGGGGGCAACCCACCACTGATATGGTCCTTCTATATGTTTAGAGCCCAGAATGCTGGCAACACTAAAGATTCCTTCTCCAGGCAACACAGAATAGACATGGGTGAAATCTGTCTCTGTTCTTTCATAGAAAATACCATTTTCTGGTTTGATAAACTGGAGTAGTTTTAACCGGCTTCTCCCCCAAGCCAGCCCTGAGAATGTGAATCTCATATAAGGAATATCTTCAACAAGCAGTAAGCAAATGATCTAGGAGGCAGGGCAAGAGATGAGCCCTGGGAAACCAAGACTGGGCAGAAGGTACTTTACTATTCATCATTATTTGATTTTTTTTAATCTGGTCTCTTTTTCAAGGCAATCATAATCATAATAATTTTGTGTTAACTGTAGTGTAAATTGCTAGATTTGTTTTGAGCAAGATCTTACCAGATTCTTTTACATGGATATCCTTCATTGGTAGCTTGGCTAAAATGAAAATTAATACATTTTAATAAATATTGCACAGTTGTACTATATTAGTATGTTTCACATATGCAAAGGTGGGGAAGTAATTCATGTTTACCTGTTTCTAATGGCTTCTCTTTCTTGTGGGGTTCTAGACAATAAGAGAAAGACCAGAACATTATTTCTCTCATCTTCATAGAATTGTGTTAATTTATAACAATTCTTCAAACAGAAAGGAGCAATTTTCTCGATTTATTTTTACATGGCGCTTACCAGTTTTGTTTACATGCACATCTTTTTTTGGCACTTTGACTAGAAGAAAAAAAATTCAAACATTTTCACAATGACATAGATTGAATACAAATGATAAATTAAAGTTAAAAGTACTGAGTTTTAATAAATGTTGCACAGCTGTACTATATTAATATGTTTCACATAAGCAAAGAGGGGGCAGTAATTCATGTTTACCTGTTTTTAATGCCTTTTCTTTCTTGTGGGATTCTAAGCAATAAGAAAAAGACCAGAACATTATTTCTGTATTTGGCTACTTCTAAAACAGTGGGTGATTCCCTACTTTACACAGAATTGTCAGGTGCAAGAAATCAGGAAGCACGGTGGTTGAAATGACTACAGGTTTATTGCATGCTAACACTCTCTACAAAAATCTGAACTACTAATTGTCAAAGCAAATCGGCAGTAGGTAAGTCGACAGAATTCAAGGTGGGTTGGATTTAGATCTATTGTGGGTGTGAAGGGACTTGAGACTAATGACACATTTGATCCCTCTCTCATGCTCAGCCTGGTCCTCTCTTACAGAATTAAATGGTAGATTGAAGTCATTTTAAGCTAGTCTTTTAATTTGACTAATAAAACTAAATTGGGATTGAAGGGACTATTCTTACTAGAAAACTTGGCAGAATGCACCTTATGATTTATTTTTATTCACTGTGGTTTTTTTCTGGGCAATTGTGTATCACCTACAAGTCAGATTACTGAGACTGACTCTGTATTGAATCCTGACAAGAAACCCAGCTGTAATAGGCCTAGATAATCCAATTCCTAGAGGGTTCCCAGAAGAGACTGGACTGCCATCTGTCACAATTGGTGTAAGGCAGGGGTGGGCAATTGTGGCTCTTTTACAACCTGTGGACTTCAACTCCCAGAATTCCTGAGACAGCCAAGCCAAGCTGTCTCAGGAATTCTGGGAGTTGAAGTCCACAGGTTGTAAAAGAGCCACAATTGCCCACCCCTGGTGTAGGATCTCGTGTTTGGGCAGGGCGTTGGACTAGATGACCTACAAGGTCCCTTCCAGCTCTGTTATTCTGTTAATTGCCGTCTGATCATCTTCACAGCAACCTTCTCTGAAAGGGAAGATTAGAGACAGGTCTGTAGTTACATAACATTGTTGGATCTTAAAGAGAGGGAATACCACCTTCTTCTGGGCTCTAGGCACTACCCTTCCCTGAGAGAGTTCAGTACAGTGGCAAAGACCTAATTCAGGAGGGACCTGGGTCCAACAAACAAATAGCCAAAGGAACAGCACAGAGAACTCTATCTATTCCTCATGACTCACCCAGGTCATACTACAAGACTGGACACTAGGCACCCAGATCAGATCAGACCCACCCAGCCAGAATCCAACTCAATGTCAATCTGAGCAATGTTATCTGTCAGATATCTAGAATATTCCCTACCACGGCAGTTCAGATGACCCTGTGGCCATCCTTAGAGAATCTAGGAGAGGCTGGGTCACCGTAAATAGGGCCACTGGACAGCTATAAACATTCATAAAACTTACATTTTGTTGCCCTTATCACCACAAGGTAATACCAGCAATTCCCCATATTCAATCAGACTTGCATTTCTTTGGGGTTTCTTAATAATCTAAAATGTGCCTGGTATTGATGAAGAGAGACAGGCCACCTAGGGGTGTTGTGGTCAAAAACCCATGCCTGTCAACAACTGAGACCTCACCTAAACCATCCACCAGATCCACAGAGTAAATCATAAGCTCCTCCAGAACTCCATACAGTTCATCAGTCATCTGGGGAGGGCCAATATAAAAGGCCATCTCTTCCCGGTGGAGGGTGGGAGTGGGCGGAGGCAATGAAGGGGATCAAAACATTTGGTGTTTTATTTTTTTTAGCAATTAGTCACTTCTCTTGGAATTCTCATTTCTGTAGCCTTTTATTAATTTTCAAAGTGGAAAATGGAATTTTCTAGAATTATTTTTACTTAGATCTTACCAGTTTTGTTTGCATGCAGAACCTTCTTTAGCAGCTTGGCTAAAAGGAAAAGATTTAAGAATATTGATTATTATAAATATTAAACATGGATAATTAATATACGTGCTACATCTTTCAAATAGCAAAAGTGGGGAAATTAGACCATGCCTACCTATATCTATTGGCTTTTCTTTCTTGTCTGCTTCTAGAAAGTAAGAGGAAGATTTGAACATGATTTCTGCATTTAGGTGTTCAAAATAAACAATGGATGACTCCATGCTTAACAGAAAAAGTGATAAAGTGAGGACACTTAAATATAGAATTTTTTAATTCCCCAATTAATCATATTGGACAGAATGCAGTCTCCTATCTATATTTTTAAAATAATTTTATTGCTTTTAAAACAATAACAGAAAAAAGCAAAAGGCACAAAAGGATACATACATTATCAAAACAGTGCATAAGAAGTGCTTAAAAATAAGTGAAAAAATACAACAGAAAAAATAGGATACAGAGTAAAATATGTTGTTAGAACAATAAACAGATTCAGTTCTATATATAATCTAATACAAACATTATTCAGGTATATATATTTTTCTAATACATTTATATGACTTTCATTCTTTTTTAACCTACAGTACTTTGTATAAATGAGTCTCATATTTTCTTATATTTATCCACACAAAGTATACATTCTATAGGCAATCCACTCATAGGTAGCAACTGTAATCAGACCTTCAATCCAGTAAAGCCACACATTTATTTTTTCAATGTTGCATTATCAGTCTTTTAGCTACAATAAAGGCACAGAGAATCCATGTTGTTCAGTTGTCAAATTCCATGTATTAGGTATGTAATTTAAGATATTATTCTCAGAAAATCTCAGCTTTTGTTGCACAGTCAACATTTATGTAGTCCATTATTTTGTCTCAAAATTTAATGCTTTCAAAGAAGCATTGCCATTACTGCATCCCAACAAAATGCTGTCCTACACAATTCTTTTTTATACAAACATATTGGAGCCCAATAAATTCTAAATATTATTTTTGGTTTTATAAGTCGTAAACTGAGATCTATTGATATTCTTGGTATAGATGTTAAGACACAGTCTCATTGTCTAGGCAATATAGGAACCTCTAAATCTTTATTCCACTAATCATTTACCTTTTGCATATTGAATTGATTTATTGATAATATCTGTTGAAATGAATAGTTGGTTTCTTTGTTTTAAAAGATTTAACTAGTTGTTCTCATATCTCAGGTGTCTCAGAAAGTGAAAACGCTGCTGGTTCAAACAATGCTGTTAACAATTATTGTAGCTGTAAATATTGCCCCTGAGCTACATCTAATAAATGATATTTGTCTCTTAGCATATCATATGTTAAAAATTTGTCGTCATCATTTACCAATTGATCCAAAGTCAATATTCCCATTTTCATCCAATTTTTCCATATCAACCTTTCCCCTCCAGATTTTTAATATTGGATTTCCACATTGTCAATTTAGCATGGTTGACAAAAGATTGAATCATCTCCTATCAATGTTTTATATTTTAGTTCAATAGTTCTCTTATAGAACACTCATTTCTGTAGTCTTTGATTAATTTTCAAGGTAGAAAGTTGAATGTCCCAGATTTTTTTAGCCTTAGCCTTACCAGTTTTGTTTGCATACACAGCCTTCCTTGGCAGTTTGGCTGAAATGAAAAAAATTAAATATATTGATTATCACACAGGTTGAATATTTAGGCTTAACACAACTTTTAGGTAAGTAAATGTAGGGAAATAAGAGCATGCTTACCTATTTCTATTGACTTTTCTTTCTTGTCTGGTTCTAGAAAATAAGAAGAAGGTTTGAACTTGATTTCTGCATTCGGGTATTCAAAATAAACAGTGAATGATTCCATACTTAACAAAGAAGGAAGTAATAAATTGAGGGCACTTAGAGACAGAATGTTTTAATTCATCAATTAAAATTAAGGTAGAATTCAGGAGACTCCTCTGACTAGATAACTCACATATTCATTCTTGTTGATTTAAGAAAAAAAAAACTTAAAAGTTTATATGACCAGAAAATGATTTTTGCATTTAAATGTTCAAAATAAACAGTATATAATTTAATACTTAACAAAGAAGCAAATGACAGACTGAGGGCACTTGAATTCCACAAACAAAACTAATTCTGGGATTGAAACAGATTCTGGATTCAGTTGGCAGAATGCACTTTATTATCTATTCTTTTTTTGTTTCTGTGGTTTTCTTCTTAAGGTTTATATGTCTTCTGATTTGAGAATAAGCCTGTGCAGTTTCTACCCCTTCTTCCAGTAATCTGGCTTCAATACCAAGATCCAATGTGAGGACATCTCCTCAAGAAAAGGGAAGCAAACCATGTCGGAGCCAAAGCTACAGGGCTGTGTGGATGAGGCCTAGTAATTTATTATGCAAATTTTGGGCTTTATTTCACTACTGTGTTTCCCCAAAAATAAGAGCCTGTTTTATATATTTTTTTGAACCCTGAAATAAGTGCTTGGCCTTATTGCCATATACTCAAAAGCCTGATTGAGCTTATTATCAGGGGATATCTTATTTTGGGGAAACAGGGTAGGTAGTCACTTAGAATGTGGAACATCCATTTCCATAATCTTCTGTTAATTTACACTAAGTATTCAAAGGGAACAGTACCATTTCTGAGATATGTTTTTTTTACACCAGTCTTACCAGGTTTCTTTACATGCACATGTTTCTTTGGCACTTTGGCTAAAAGAAGAAGATATAAGGATTTCAGTTATTCTACAATTTGAATATGTATAATCCATATCCATGTCCAATATCATGTTTTATGGTTGTAAAAGAAAGAAAATATTAACATACTAACCTATTTCTATTGGCTTTTCTTTTTTATGTGTTTCTAGGATGTAAGAAAAAGGACAGGACATGATTTCTCCATCAGAGTCTATAAGGGTGTGCTTATTCCATATATTCCATATCATTAGTGAAATGAGAAACCAAGATCACAGTTAATTAGTCTTGTGATTTCATAATTAAAACAAAGCAGGGATTAAGTGGCTCTTATTTTCTTCCTGTTGTATATGTGCTGTTTATTTTTGTTTTTGCTGCATATTCTCCAAATTTAAGTAGCCAATCAGATATCAACAGAATTGTTTATTTCTTCCAATTCTGTGGAAAATTTATTCTTATTGCCATGAGCATGTATCTAAGTAAATTGTGGCTTTGTTCTTCAAAATTTATATTAAATGAAAAAGCAAGTTGTTTGTCATGGGTAACAGAATGAATAAAATTCTTGATTAGTAGAATGTTAATACTACTAATAGACTTCACAGATATTTATGAGACACAGAGGAGGATAAACATTTAAATGGACATTTGTTAGAAGAATGGAATTCTATAAGGAAAATAATAAGCCCATTAGATAGACTTGTTAGTGTGTCCTTTAAATGCCTTTCATACTGGAGATTACAATAAGAAAATGTAATTACATATGCCGGCATGGTTCATCCACACTCAGTGAATGGATTGAAGAGATAGCAAGAATTATTCAGTGAAGACCAGAATATGGATGATTTTGAGGCAGCAGATAGGGGGCTGTAGGGATTAGTCCTAAGTAAATCATAGGAACAAGATGTGATCTATTTTTCATGTCATTTTATTTCATTACTCAATGTCTTCTTCTATGACATGCTCACATCAATAATCTTGCGTGAATTAATACAAAGTATACAAAATAGAAAGTGTAATTTTTTTGGGGGGGGGGGAGAAATATCCAGGTCTTACCAGATTCTTTCACATGTGCAGCCTTCGTTGGCTTGCCTGCTAAAATAAAAGGATAAAAGAATTATGATAAATTTTCAATAGTATTCTATTATCAATAGGTTTCTGGGAGGCAGAGGTGAGAAAATGGGGTGTAGTTTCCTACTTCTTTCAGCTTTTCCTTCCTGTATGATTCTGGAAAGTAAGAGGAAAAAAAGGACGTTGTCCCTGCCCTTGAGAGTTTTTAGTAAGCAGTGTAGTATTTCTACACTGAGCAGAAAATGAAATGATTGATTTTGAGGTTGTAGACAGTGAGCTTACTCATTCCTCAATTAAAACTTTGAAAGGACAGTTAGCTTGTTTTATTCCAAGAGAGAAGAAGTAAGGATATGTTTTGCTTTTTTGTAAGTTTAGAGTGCTCATAGAGAACCAAGGATGAATCAGCTTTGCAGCAATGACAGCTAACTATTATTTATCTGCCAGCAAACAAGAAATGTCTTGTCCAACCCACTCACTTTCTTACAAGAACCTCTTCCCTCCCCCCAGGAAAAAATAAAAATAAACTAAAAACCTATTGCCATAGAGGCAAATCATCTATAGAGAGATATAAAGGTCCTTCTCCATTAGATCCAAACAGACAAGTCATGTGCAAGAAAACCAAGGCAATAAATTAGTGTTTATTTGCTTATTTAAAAGATGTATAAAGATAAAGGTAAAGATTCCCCTTGCAAATACGTTCTAGTCATTCCTGACTCTAGGGGGCGGTGCTCATCTCTGTTTCTAAACCGAAGAGCCAGGGCTGTCTGATGACAATTCTGTGGTCATTTGGCCAGCATGACAAAACGCCAAAGGTGCACGGAACACTGTTACCTTCCCACCAAGGTGGTCCCTATTTTTCTACTTGCATTTTTACATGCTTTCGAACTGCTAGGGTGGCAGAAGCTGGGGCAAGTAAGGGGAGCTCACTTCATTACTCGGTGCTAGGGATTCGATGCTGACCTTTCTGATCAACAAACTCAGCATCTTAGCCACTGAGCCTCCGCATCCCCTTTAAAAGATGTATATAGTCACCCATTTTATAAAACTCTGGGTAGCTCACAGCTCCACGAATGGGAAAAACGTCACAAAATGTCACGTGATGGCAACATGACACAGCGAGTTTGACATCCGTGATATAAGCATAATTGTATATAATGGAGGTTATATAACTGTGATGGCGAACCTATGGCGCGCGTGCCACAGGTGGCACGTGGAGCCCTCTCTGCGGGCACGCAAGCCATCGCCCAGCTCAACTCCATTGCGCATGCGCACATGCTTCCCACTGGCCAGCTGATTTTCGGGTCCCTGCCCTCCCTGCATGTGTGGGGGGGGGGCTACCTTTCTCTTCACTTTCTGCTGCCCGTGCCTTCTCAGATCTCCAGAGATTCCACTCACAGCGCTGTTTTGAGAAGCAAGGCTTTTTCCTCCTCCCAGCCGTTTTGGGACACGAGGCTTTTTTTCCTCTCCCAGCCATTTTGGGAGGCAAGGCTTCTCCCCCCCCCCCAGCACTGTTTTGGGATGTGAAGCCAAAAGGGGGGGTTGTGTGCACAGGGGGAGGGGAGCATGGGAGTCACATGTGCATGCATGGGGGGAGGGGAGCGGGGGTTGCATGTGCAAGTGCGGGGGTCGCACACACATGTGCAGGGGGTGGGGCGTGTGGGAGGGGCATTGCATTATGAGTGTGGGCACGCACACACATGCGATAATGCATGCACGCACACTTTTGGCACCCAAGGAAAAAAAGGTTAGCCATCACTGTTATATAACATTACTTCCTGACTTCTATTGCATTCTCTTCACTCCATTATTCATGGGGGAGAAAGTTCCCATCTTTTTTCCAGGAGAACTAAGGGGGGAATGAGGCAAATGGTTTTGAACAACCCTACATCTCTCTTTTAACAAATTTCTTGTGACTAAATAGGATATGTTTTGCCTCATTTCCTGACACAGAAGCATGGGGCATGGAAGCTATATAATTCCCAAATCACAAATTGAGTATCCAACATCCTCTGAAGCTACTTGAAAGGCAGTGATGTATCACAACAGAAGAATAGAGATCACTCATACTGGTGATAGCTCAGGAAGGAAAGGGAAGCTGGCAGAAGAGAGTGGGACAAGCCCATTTGCTACTCGGGGAATATTTAGAAGATCAACTCCCCAAATATCAAACAGGTGCTGAGACAATCAGGAAGGTATCAAGCCTTCCTTGTAGAAGACCTAGGCTTGCTATCAATCAACAGCAAGGCAAGATGCAGTGGTGGGTTTCTACCGGTTCGCCGCAGTTCGGGTAGTGGCGGCGGCGGGAGGTTCCACCCACCCACCTGGACATCATCACGGACGCTCTGCGCAGGTGCAGAAGCGCCGCATGCTCTCCCGATTCCAAACAGGTAGCGAAGGTAAGCGAAATCCACTACTGGCAAGATGTGAAAAAAATTTCTAAAGCACAGTGTTGTCTCTAGAGTAGTTTTGCTAGAAACTGACAGAATAAACGTAGTGTATGTTTCCTTTAAAGAAAATTTGTTTTCAAGGCTATGAAATCACGCATAAAGTCAATATCTCATCAGTGTTACTTCTATACTAAGAAGTTTTCTCATCAGCCTTCAGATTTCTTCCTGTAGCTAGCTTGCTCCCCCTGCCTGATTCATGCAGAAATCACAAATATCCATGAATCAATTTTACTATACTCAGTATTGCAGTTGTAAAGTTTGAAACTTGTCATCACAATAGATGATTGTTTCAATTGATTTGTTTATGCAAATGGCTACTTCTAATAAGTAGAACTATAGCAGAATGAGAGTACTTTGAGGTAAGAATTGAGAAAGCAAGTTTGAGATTACTATATATCTGAGCAATTACACCCAAATTTTCAAGAACGTTAGTGATCCAAACATGAATTGATTCACCAGCATAATCCTTTCCCCTTGTCTTTTGCTTTTTTAGAAACAACTATATTAGAAGTGCTATAAAAAGACATTTAATGGACTTTAGTTATTGTCATATAAATAGTAATGTCCAGGGGCTCCAGGATCATCCAGACCGTTTATAGTGTCAACACATTCTGAAAATTGCTTTTGATGCATGCGTGTGGAATCTAAACAGTGGAAAGAATTAAAATCTATTTATAGCTACCGTCAAGAAGATCGGAAGCTGCTTCTTTATAATCTTTATTTTTCTTTTCTTCCTTTTCTTCCTTTTCTATTTTTTTCACTTTTTTTATTTATCATCTTTCTTTTCTTTTCTGGTTTTTACTTTGTTAAGCATTTCTTCAATAAAAATTATAGTATATACTATACTACAAAAGTATACTACATATATTTTTCCCATATCTTTTTACCCTGTTAATACAGCAAATACACATGCAATACACTACACAGAAGAATTTTAATCAATGTGCAGCTAGACTTTTATTATTTATATAGTGCATTTTAATTATTTTAGTTTAAATATACGCTATGATTTTAATATTTTGTAAGTCATCCTGAGAAACTCAATTTTGAAGGGGTTAGGTTTATCCAATGTCAAAGAAAATAAATAAATGGGATTTTAATGATGAAATATACAAATATGTGAAAAATAAAATATACAAATATTGCTTCTGAATAAACATTTCTGAAGATGAACTGCAAACATTTTATTGTGCAGAATTTTTATTTCCCCATGGATTTCAGTCAAACTTAAATCCAAATTGCCTCCTACTGCCTGATTTTTATGGTCATTCTGACTTTTGAATTCATGTTAGAATTCACCTAAACATTTAATCCTTTCACATTTGAAGCTGTTCAGTCCGTCACATATATTACTACATAGTTTCAACAAAAGCTCTGTGTTTTATTAATATATTTTTTCAGGCAATAAATTAATTTTAGAATAATTTAGCCCCATAAGCGTTTTCAGCAATTGTTGCAATATTGACATAAACAATTTGTGAAAAAAAATCAAAATATTTTTCTGATGAATTTACAAGTTTGTTTCAGCAGATGGCGGCATGTAGCTTACTTTTCAGGGAAACAAGCAAAACTGGGCCTGGTTATTGCTTGAAAATTTCAGGGAGCTGGGCAGACTGGGATGTTAAAAAATATCTGAAAAAAAGTGGGTTTGTTTTTAAGAACTAGCAATTACTTTATAATGTCATTTTTGTTAATGGATGCCATTATTCTACAGAGCAATGAATATACTCTCATGAATGCATTTTAATGTTGATATTCTTTACAAAGGAATAACACTATTCAAAATGGATAAATGAAGATTTATATGTTGTGAAGATTATATTTGAAGTCATCTGCAATGACCTGAGTCACTGTTATCAGAGGAACAATTTACAAAATTATTTCCTTATGGGACTATTTGAATAATCTGTTGTTTTAGGATAATTATATCTTCAGCATCTGTTTCCTCCTTTCACTTACTCCATGCAGATAAAAAAAAAAAGATAAGATTTTCCATTAATTGGAGTCATCTATTTGGGGCTCACAGTTGTGGGGCACAGAATGAAACAAAAAACTATTGAAGGAAAATATGCTTTTCTTTTTACTTTCTGTCACTTCCCTCCTCTTCTCTAAAAAAGTGGCTAAAGGAGGACGCTGATTTGCATTCATGCCTATAGATTCAACTTTAGAAATAATTTTATTGTAGTTAAATATTCTGAGTAGAAATACCAAATGTCTTATTATAAAGGGAAATTTGTAACTAGGTAACCCGTGTTATTGGGTTGTCCACAAAAACAGGTAAAGGACGGCCATATAACAACTCATTAAATATGGGATGATCTTTTGTAAAATGGAACAAACCTGCTGTAAGCCAGTAAAATATTTACAATTTTTCCAAAAATAATGTAGCCCTTTGCAGAAAGGCCTTCATCTATGTCTATATTTGCAAAGGTGGCCAAGTATTTTACAGAAATGCAATGAATATCCACTGAGCTTGCTTTCCAAATGCAGCCTTGTTTCAAGAAATTTGCCTCAGCAATTAGATGCTCAGCAATTAGGGCCTCAGCAATTAGATGCTGGTCATGTTCTGTGAGGAAAATCTTTCCTTCTGAGATTTGCAAGGTTCACTCCTCATGGCTAAGCCACAATGCAGTGTAGTGTGCTTAGTTTTGATTTAACACAATGACTGAATCCAATCATTGTGGCTTGTAAATGATTATGCATGGTTTTGTCAATTGGCAGGGCAGAACCCACTACATTATTTTCATTTTCAGAGAACAAAAAAGAGTTCCTACTCATCTGAACCAACAGATGGCGCTCTGGTTCAATGAAATAAAATAATTTAAAAAAGAAAAGAAAAGAAATATATGCTGCTCAGAAGGGTGATTAAATAATCCTGAAACAAAGCAAGAGAAAATAATTGAATTATTTACCTGGTGTTGCCACTTTTATGGAAACTGGCTGGGGGGGTGCAGGAGTTTTTGCTGGCTCTTGAAACGAGAACAAATTAAAGCAATCATAACAAGGCATGCTATAACAAAATAAATAAATAAATAAAAAACATGGGGAAACAACATAGGAAAAATATTGCCCTTAGTATCCTTTTCATAAGGAAAAAGAGAAGATAATTAAAAGAAGTTGTTTCTTGGAATTCTATTAAGTAAATATACAAAAGTATGAAGGCTATTGCTTAACGCATTGTAAGCCGCCCTGAGTCTCCGGAGAAGGGCGGCATATAAATAATAATAATAATAATAAAAAAAGTAAAAAAATAGGGGAAGAAAGCATGATTTGAAATCAAGTGATAATTACTAATATTAACAAATGTAGATTTTTGTATTATACAACTCAGCATCACAATTTAATAGTCATTTCACAAACCACATGCATCATTTGCAGAAAAAGGCATAGCTGGGATAACATTCTCCCTGAAGTAAACTAAAGTCTCTATATTTGTGTTCTCCTCCTCCAAAATAAAGCAAAACAGGTTATTCTCAAGCTGTAGCATAGATCAGTGTCACCAGCTCAGTTTTGACATACATTTACATGTGCAAACAATGAACAATCTGGCTTGTGTTGATCCATCTTTTATGATAAATGAGAATACCCATCCCCACTTCAGGTCAATGGGGCTACGTGTGATTAGAGTCAGTTCACAGCCTGTCTCTGTGCAAAACATGCCTGTTTGACAAGAAAACCATCAGACACTCCTTCTGTAACACGAAGATAAGTGCTACTCAGAAGAGAATATTGAACTATGATCATTTATGTCAGGGACATGATGGATTGCAGCATCCATTTTCCTGGGATGGAAGATACCATGCTGAAGGATCAGAATTGTCCATCAAATTGTACGTTTCAACACCTGCTACCCAAACTGAACAACTGAAATCATCAGCAAGAAACAACAATCAAATTTGTATTTTATCTTTCTTGTGATGACCTTTTGCTCTGGGGGTTCTCAAGTGTTCATATTTTCCCCCCTGCTTTTGATGATCCAAAGTCTTCCCTTTATTCATGCATCTACTTCCTGGGAACTTGATGCCACAATTGGAATACTTACACCTGTGGAAGAAGCATGATTCTTCCAGATCCCCAAATGAGAAACGTGATACTGAGTTGTATGTAGATTTTAGTGATGCTATAGAAGCACAGTGAGAATAACATCACTGCAATAAGCTGGAAAAGATCTGAAACAAGTAGCCCTCCCTTTCAGATGTGTTTGTCCTTTTTCTTTCTTCTGTAAATACCTGGATGTCTTCTGCAATTCAGCAGAAGAATACAGGGGGTCCTTGATTTACAATCATTTGTTTAGGGACTGTTCAACCTTACAGTGGCACTGAAAAAAAGTTACTTACGACCAGTCTTCACACTTTTTGTTGCATCATCCCAATAGCCATGTGATAATAATTTGGACACTTGGCAGTTGGCATGCATTTATGATTGTTCAGCATCTTGGGATCATGTGATCACTATTTGTGACCTTCCCAGCTGATGATGTAAGCCGGATTTGCTTAATGATTGTGATTCACTTAACAACCATGGCAAAAAAAAGGTTGTCAAATGGGGTGCCTCATTTAACAATGGAAATTATGACTCAATTGTAGTCATAGATACAAGGACTTCCTACACATAGCTGAAAGGTCTTCAGCTTTCATTTTATAAGGTTGCATGGGGCAATTTTAGGCCACGTTTTACCTGATTAAATAATGCAGGATTCTTTGTTTCCTGCATCACTTTCCCAGAAACAGAAACAGCAAATGCTTGATGAGTTCTATTTTCATGCCAGGGACTTGTATTCATTATTGAAGGACTAAGAGTCTTCAGACCTTATTATATAGGAACCAGATACATTAACTCTTCTATCTAGCTCATGGTCACTAAGAAATACTCAGCTGAGATCTCAGTTGACATTTCAATCCCTATCTGCTTTTTCAAGATGTAAATTTTTTTAAAAAAGAAAATGGAGAAGCGAAAAAACAACTGTCAGTCACAAATGGGAATGGGGAACTGAAAATGCAGTGTGAATTGATTCAGAATAGAAGAAACTGCTAAGTCTAAACATGTCACTTTAAAATTATAAATGGTGTCACTCTTTCCATATTTGCATTTTCATACATTTTTACAGCACAGTTCTCTGCAGATCTACCCAGACGTAAATCCTATTGAGTACAAGACGCCTTTTACAAAAAAAAAAAAAAAAGGATAAAATGATATACTTCAATACTCATAATTGGATGTATCAAAGCAAACACTAATAACAGTGAAATAAAATAAACAAAGGTAAGAGCATAATTAGCAAAATAAGACTCACTTTTTAGGTCTTTGATGGAAACAGCTTCTTTTGTGTCTGTAAGAATATATTATAAAAGGCAATAAGTGTATGGTTACTTATTAGCAGTTAGCACTGCTAAAGGCTCTCACATATGCACCACAAGCCAACCATTTATTTCATCATCACAAAAGATAAAAATGTATTTCTCCAGGGAGATGCACCCTAAGCTTTCTAAATGTTGGGTGTTTCAATGTTAGGATCTAATTTGAATACCATAATGCAACCCTGGGATATGAAATAATTTATTCATTTATTTATCCTGTCTTTATTATTTTTATAAATAACTCTTTATGCTTGAATATACCTAATACTCTTTCTTCCTCATATTGTCCTCATATTGTCCTGTGAGATGGTCTGTGCTGAGGGAGATGTACTGGCCCAATGTCACCTAGCCAGCTTTCATGCCTAGAACTCACAGTCTCCTGGTTTCTAGCCTGATGACTTAACCGCTAGACCAAACTGACTCTCGCTAAAATCTTTACTTTGAAGTATTTGCATTTTTGCCCTTCTGGGGTAACTTGAATAAAAAGCAATGAGAGCTATTTCAGACAAAACACCTTCTAGCACTTTTCAAGGCCAGCTTTCATTTAGATATGAATTATCCCACCAAACTGTTTCCTTTTACTTGTATGAATAGTTAATCTCTTTGGGACCCCTTGCTCTGATTTCTGTTCTTTAGGACTCATGTGCCATTTTTGTAAGACCCTTTTCTTTTATCTGAGGTAATAAAAAGCCTAGCAGTTTCCACAAGAAACTCATGCATTATTGGGTATATGTACATTGCCCTTTGCTCTGAAAAAAAACTTTGTGGGTTAATCTTCCGCCTCTATCGGCCTGTTTTCCAGGAATCGCTTCAAACCCTGCTAATTACCACACTGAGATGAAATTAATCATAAAGCTGTTTTCGGTCATGGAGGTCTATTGAAGCATTCATAAATGCTTTATAGTTGCCAGATATGGAAATTTTAAAAAGTGTCACTTGTAGTTGATATGAATCATTTATCACAATTATCTGCTATTACTGGAAGCTATAAAACCCAAACTCACCGGCAACATTATGTTCAACAACAGATGTGATCTACAACATGCTCCATTACAAAAATTCTGATACATTGGGATATTTCCTTATGTTTTAGATAAGAATGTTCTTTTACTCAAATAGCTTTCTCATGAAGAAGATTCGTCCAATTCTGTTTCAAGGGTAGCTTGTTTTTCAAACATTCCGATGTTTAAGGATTATCAAATGAGGAATTGATTCATATGTAATTATTTTCACCTAGTAATATATAAAAAAGGTTAAAACAAGAAACAAAGCTCTGGTGAAGAATTGTTTTTCCCCTATTCCCTTTTACTATTTATTCATAGTTACTCCTTGAATAAAGAACTATGCGATTAGTTCTTTATTCAATATGCACAGCAATTCCTCCACCAGGTTCTGCTAAGGCCCCTAATGAAATACACTAGGGAATCTCAAAATGTGGGTCATGACTCCGTTAACATACTTCAGGCAAAATCTGCAGTGACTCTGATACTGCTTTCACTATGCATGAACAATCTTCACAATCACAAAGCTGGAGCATTGTCAAACCACGGCAACTTTGCTCAGGGAAAATTGGGGCCCAGAGTAAGTTTTTAGATTGTTCTCAGTTTCCTTATGCAAGCAAGCAATCTCCTCTGTTATGGATAATGATAAAGTATTATTCCCTATATTGAACATCACTGATTAACATAATGCATAGACACAGCACAAACGATACTGAACCAGTTTTGCAAACCACTATGGGATTCAGAGGACTGCAGGCTGGGTTTGTGAATAATTGCAGGAATGAATTTTTACATATGCAAGGCATTATGTTTTCAATAAAAGGAAGGCTATGTTTTCGGGACTACGGATGGTCATTACAGAGAACAAGGTGATTCTTTATAAAGAACTAAATCTACCAAATGGAACATATGTGGTAAGAAACAAAAGCCAGCTACAAACAAAAAATAAGAACAGTTGGGGATTTTTATCAGAAAACAAGGTTATGTCTTAGGAATCTTAAATATGGAGTCAATGTTGCTAGAATGCGAAAATCTTGAGAAAAAAAGGATGACAGCAGCTGAACAAATATTCTCTCCATACCTATGTAAGGGACCCTATCATTAATGATAGATGTAATTCTGATGTTTATAGTATAGGTCAGGAGTGTCAAACTCAATTTCATTGAGGGCCGCACCAAGGTTGTGTTTGGACTTGGGATGAGATGGGGCATGGCCAGCTCAATGTCACTCATGTCGGTGGCACCTGTGCTGGCCTGAACGCTCTGCCAGCTAAAACAGGTTCCCAAGCTCCGTTTCGGCTGCAACAGACTCCTGCAACCCTCTGCCAGCAAAAATGGAGCTGGGGAGTGCCGCTCTGTGGACCTTGCAAGCTCCATTTTCGGTTGCGATGGCTTCTTGCAACCCTCTGCCAATGAAAAGAGAGCTCAGGAGGGCTGCAGACAGCCCTCCCAAGCTCCATTTTTGCTGGAAAAGGCACTGCGAGCCGGTCCTTCACTGTTTCCAGGACAGCCCCCTGGGCCAAGTTCTAAGCACCCCGCAGGCCGGATCTGGGCCCCAGTCCTTGAGTTTGACACCCCTGGTATAGGCCAATCTTCCCCAACCTCTATAACTAGGAATTTGGAAACCTATAATCTCAACACATCTAGGCTGGAGTGTCTGGTCATCTTAATAATCAGGCATGCTAGAATTCAAAAATCATTACATAATATATTTCAATAGATGGGCAGAAGGGATAGAGGAATTCAAAAGTTTTACCAACGTGTGATTCTGTACTTGAGACATATCATGCAATTGATTTCATGGAAGGATAGTTTGCTCAGAACAATGTTTACTCGGAGAAATAGTCTCAGTGCATTCAGAGGACATATTTGCTAATGAACAATTTGCCTTATTTTAGTTGAAAACTCACCTGGTAAACGTAAGCTAACCAAGGCATTTCCAATTCTCTATTCAACATCTAAAGACCAGGGTTTCCACTTACATAGATGTAGAAAACTAACATAAGCACATAGACTTTGGGGCTTCCAAGACACTGAATAAGCAGAAGGTTTCTAGATACAATATGTCAGCCATATGTGTGAAATCATTTCCTGCACTTTTGACACATTAATGGGGGCTTTTAAACCAATACATCATGCATGGATGGTATTTAATGTTCCATTTGCTGCCCTTAGCAAAATGTTCTGTATTAAAACAAAAGCTGCAGCAGGTGGCATAAGCTCTCTGAAAAACAGCTTTTCATTGGAATATTTTAAGCAATGAGAGACAATTCTTAATACAGCCTCATCTCAGAAAGTATAGGCATCAGGTGTCAAGTACTAGGTAACTGTGCTTTATCCCTACTCAGGGAACTAATAGCCCAGTAATTATCTAACCAAGGCCAAGAATGAATTAAAATTAAATCCATTCTATCATATTTTCAAAGCACCCCCGATTGCTGCAAATCAAAATTCACACACCAAGAATCTTTGGGATTCTGTGAAACAGACCTTTCCAAACTTGAACCAACCAGATGTATTGAATTATAATTATCATTAAGCCCATTTTCATCAGTAGCTGGAGGAATTGAAGGATACAAGAGGATTCTGAACATGTATCTATTTAGATTGACATTAACAGAATTAAAACTGGAAATTTGAAGTGACATTTAATCAGTCATTGTTTATTAAAGACTTCTAAATATGGAAGGTTCTATAGTTCCCCACACATCAAACCATACTCTTCACGAATGATGGAACTGGTAGTCAAAATATGCTAGACTCAGTAACATCTTATAATATTAGCTTTTCTCATTCACCACTATAGCACCAGAAGATAAAATGGAGCTTGTTGCAAGTCCTTGAAAATAGTAAGTAAGTAAGTAAGTAAGTAAGTAACTAAGAAACTATATAGCACATCCTGACATACATCAAAAACATTTCAGAAGCAGTAGAATGCAGCTTCCGAGATCTGAAAGTGGGTATCGCCCACCACCCAGAGATTACCATAGGAGAACAAATCATGCAGCACAAAGATTGGCTGGGAGAAATTTACTGGATTCCCTGCATGGATTGGCCTTGTGATTATGTAGGACAGATAGGGAGGAAGTTAGCCACCAGATTAAAGAACATGAGCAAGCTGTTAGAAAAGGAGACCCAAACTCATTGGTAGCCTCACACTGCAGTGAACAAGGACATGCATTCAATTTTGCAGCAATTGGGATATAGACATGAAACCCTTGTCATGGTCAGATCACTCACTCCTTCATCTGGACCTTCGAACCGCGACACCCTGCCACAGGGAGGCGGAGCCAATTAGATGGGTCCGCCCCAGGCACCTGATGGATCCTGATAGGTTCCAGATGGAGCTTGGGCCATTTCCTGAGGATCTAGCACATGACTCGGCCGAGGACCTGGTAGGTGCCTGGGATCGGGCGGCTGGTGGGGCCTTGGACCGAGTCGTGCCTTTGCGGCCTCTGACCCGGTGCCGATCCCGGGTGGCTCCTTGGTTTACTGAGGAGCTGAGGGAAATGAAGCACCAGAAAAGATGCCTGGAGAGCGGTTGGAGGGCCAGTCTTGCTGAATCTGATCGAACACTGGTAAGGTCGCATATTAAGGCCTACCTAGTGGCGATAAAGACGGCAAAGTTTAATTACTTTTCTGCCTCTATCAGGGAATCGTCCGGCCGCCCTGTTTAGAGTGACCCGCTCCCTGCTCCATCCGGAAGTGCGGGAGGATCCCTTGGAAGGCAGGGCGGAGGATTTCGGACACTACCTGTAGACAAAATAGCTCAGATCCGGGGGGATTTGGACTCTGACTGGGTAGATCAGGGCAGGGTGACGAGGAATAGTCTTGAGAATGTTACCTGGGAGGAGTTTGATGCTGTGACTCCTGATGATGTGGACAGGATTTTGGAGAGACTTAGTATGGCCACATGTTTACTGGACCCGTGTCCCTCCTGGTTGGTACTGGCTTCCCGGGAGGTTACACGAG